ACACATCAAAGTAATTACTTAGAAACTACTAAGACGAAAAAACTGAGAAATGGAGTAGAAAAGCAAGCATAGACCTAACTACTACGAAGTAGTAGTTAGGTCTATGAAGCAAGCAAACAAACATCCAGTGTTGCCAACTTAACCCTTCTGGAGGCATTTGGAGCCTGTTCGATCTAAATTATGCCCCTAAAATTTACGTCCTAGCCCTTTCCTAAATATTTTTGTCACAGCTACTAAATGCCGATGATGCTACAATTTTGTGGCGTTCGAGTAGTGGCGACCTTCTGGAGAGGACCATGAGTGATGATTTATATAGGATTAAGGAATGGTCTGACTCGAATGCTTTCTGCCTCAATATTAATTAAACAAAAATACTCACTTTTGGTTTTAACAATATCAGTCTTCATATAGAAAATAAGCAGATTGTCTGTGTGTTTGTGTGCGATAATAATGACATTCTCTCACCAAAATCGAGAATATCACATTCTTACACCAAAATTGAGAAAATATTTTAATCAACTTGAAAGTGCATCAACACAGCACACATATGATTCGCGACAAAATCCCTAGGCTTACTTTGACCAATCAGTCAAAATTAATTTAGGAAAGTCTCAAGATGTATAACCGAATGAGTGTTGACAATTGTCATATCTCCAGTACCACAGAAGGGTAAAGAGTATTTTTTGCTTGAAACGGCATATTAGGTACAGCTTGGACGAATTAAAGATTTATGAATAGTGTTGTTTTGCTTTTATGATCTTGTAAACTTGGCGGTCTTTTTTTTTGCTGCTTATAAGTCTCGGGATTTGATTACGAGACAGTGCAGGCCAAATTCTCAAATACATAAAAGAGAATGGCATTTCACAAAAATGAAAACAAAAAACGAGTACAAAAGCTTAAGTTGGGTATACCAGAGTCAGCAGCGGAACATATTGCAGTGGGTGCTTTCTGGCCTGAAAAATCTATATAAACAATTTTATGAACCTTCATAACATGAAGCGGAAAAAGATTCCAGAGGCGAGGAAGGAATAGCATTGATCATACTCCTATATAATAGGATCACTGAGGGGCAAAACGAATGAACTTGAAATTATTCTAAACATAGATATTGTATGTCTCAGTGAACACAGACTGAAGCAGAAATAAAAACAGTTCACATGCCAAGTTATAAACTCTCAAGTCAATTCAGTGGACAACATTTTATTAGAGTAGGAACAGCAATTATCACCAACTCTGTGATGAAAACCAAAGAAATAGAGAATGTAAGAAGCTGATAAAGATTTGGAAATGTGTTGTATTTATCTTGAACATTTCAAAGAATATGTATTGTCTATTTATAGATCACCCACAGGCAATTTTCTGAAGTTTTTGAATTTGCTAGAGAGTGAATTATTGTCCATTAATGTTTGTAAGCAGGTCATTTTAGCAGGTGATTTTAACATTTGTTTTGGTTCAGGTAGCTCTGAGGACAGGGTTGGCAAATACGATATTTATATAAATATCCAATTATCCAATATATATCGATATATATCAAAATTTGGATATTTATTCATATTTTCAATTACAATTAGTTCATCTCTCGGTTCATCTGTTTTCTGTTATCTATATTATTAAAATTCAAAATAACTTTATGGTAAATTTAATAAAATGTTACAAATATGCAGAGTTAGTATGGCGATAACAAGTTTTAGTGCTCCTATCTCCTATACATAATATGTATAGGAACGTAAAGTGTAGTAGGTGAATAAAAATTCAAGTTTAAGAATATGAAAACATTTATGTTAACTTTTGGAATGACGTTCTTTCTCATAGTAACTCCAGAAGTTAACATTTAGTTATCTGTCAGAATAGTTTCATAATAGTCGCCCTAGAAAACCTGATATTTGTTATACAAAATAAATAAAATAATAATTGATAATTGACGTAATATAGACTGTTTTGGCCAAGATCCGTGTGATTTCCTTCTCATAAATATACTACCCAACCATTAAACTTCTCAACATAAAATAATAAAACTATAAAATAAGAAAAGAAGGCCACACAAGTAATATTGATATATATCATGATATTTATAGCATAAATATCACATTTATCCAGAAATATATCAGGATATTTATCGCTGATATATATCCTGCCAACCCTGTCTGAGGATATTAGGTTTGCAGACTTTTTGACTTCTTTTGGCTTTAAGCAAATGATCTGCTTTGAAATGAGAGGTCGAAATTGTCTTGATAATGTTTTTATTAATTTTGCAGTGAATGATAGTGTGGCTACCAGCACAGACTATCTTTTGTCGGATCATTTGGCCCAGACGGTTTGTTTGAAGGGTTTCCGACCAGTTGCGGGTCTTTCTGCAGAGAGGGAGAATTAATTTTTTTGGTCTGGTTTCTGAGATTTCATGGGACTTTGTTATTGATGGATCCACACCGAGGAAACAAAAACATCATTATTTCAGAATAAAATCAGTAAATGCTTCAATGATGCCTTCCCTGAAAAAACCTACATAAATAAGATAAACACAATCACTGTAATTATTTCAACCCTAATCTGAGACGTCTTGGAGAACCAGTTAAGCTCATTAATGACTTGTACAAAATAACGCCTAGTCCAGGCATGCTACAAGAATGAAATAAATTAGGACGCAAATGAAGAAAAGAATGCGCTCCTTTGTAGAGCTTTGTATTTTCTTGCAATCGCAAGTATTCTTATGTATTCTCATATATTTATATGTATTTTCATGTACTCTGATGTATTCCCTTGTAGTCATATGAATTTCTATATTGTTGTATTCTTATGATTTCTTTGTACTCTATGCATTCAGTGTACTAAGTATCTCTGTATGTTTAATTTTAATACATACATAATTTAATTATATTCTTAAATGCCTGCTTAAATTATTAGTAAATTATGGTACCCAAAAAGGCTTTGTTTCTCTCTTCTAGTTATTTATGATATAAGTGCTAAAAGTGACATTTTATTTTGTGAAAAGGGAAGTTTGGGACACGACGTTGAAGGCGGAGTGTTCCATCCCTTTGAACAAAATAAAATCGCTTTAAGCACGAATATCATAGGTACACAATTTTTTCTACAAACACACTAAAAGTGATTAGTTTTAGCACTCAGTGCTAAAAGTAATCACTTTTAACACCAGTGTCATAAAATGGCATTTTAGACACCGACAGCATCCGTTAAAAATGACACTTTTAGTGACGTCTGGAGAAAAACTCTTTTTTAAAATTCTATTATACAGGGTGTTTCCCAAACACGGTCCATAACTTCAGTTCAGGATGTGATTCCATTATGATATTTCAAGAAAAAAAGTTCCCATAAACATGTGTCCAGAAAAGCGTAATTTCTGAGATACTGATATTTATTAAATAAAAAATAAATTATAAGTCAGTACGCTACTGCTTATAAAGCGTTTGATATTTTTGTAAAATTGTATATTGCGTAAAGTCTTTTTTTTTAAAGATAAAAGTCAAAATGACATTATGTTGGCAATACCACAGTTTATACTGTACCGATACAGTTGTACAACTCTCCATATTTTTTGAGGCCAAATTCTCCAACCAATAGGAGCATTTTGTCCCATATCTTGCCCATGCGCTCAATGAGTGAACAAATCTCTCAAATTGAAAAAGCAGTTCGGCATATACATGTCTCTTTCCAATCCTGCACACAAAAAAGAGATAGAGATAGCTTGGGTGAGAACCCGCGAGAAATAACTGTCAAACGAGACACACAACAGGATTGTATTACAAAAAAAAAAGTAGAGAAGTTTTATGACTGAAATTATTCAGGAAATTGGAAAGTTGAAATTCGGCTTAAGAGTGTCTTGCTTTCCGTGTTATTCGCGATTTTTGTGTACTTGACTGTTTTATCGTTTATATATTGTGTATTATCATGGTTGCTTCCTTTTTTGTCTGTTAAAACAACACTAGAACTAGCCCAGGCTTAGGATATTTTAGTTTCCCGAACGATGAACGACTGTAAGTATTTATATCTACATATTTCATATTAGGTTTACTCTATACATTCACATAATCTTTGTTTATTATTATATGATCTCGTTATATTCTCAATGTTAATCCACAAAAAATCCTAGTCCGACTCTGTCCATGGCCCAGGATTCGGTGTTTCCGATCAATAATGCGCAAGCGCGAAATATGGGGACATAGAATTTGGCTTCAAAAAAATCTATGGTTTGTCAACGGAGTTGAACAACTGTATCGGTACGGTATAAACTGTGGCAATACAATGTAAAATTGTCAATGCTTTCAAATTTTTTATGTAGAAAAGGCTTGTGTTACTAAATTTTTGACTTGGGGAATTATCTTTAAATAAAAAACAAACTTTATGTCAAGTCTGTTTTTTTTAAAGATAATTCCCCAAGTCAAAAATTTAGTAACTATGTTGGCAACACAAGCCTTTTCTACATGTGAAAAATTTGAAATCATTGACAATTTTACATTGTATTGCCAACATAATGTCAATTTGACTTTTATCTTAAAAAAAAAAACACATTTTATGTGTATCTAGCCTGGTTTTTGGAGGAGAAAAAAATTAAAATTCATTTTCTTGCACGTGACGTTTATAAATATCAACTCCCTGTATCTCAGAAATTACGCATTTCCGGACACATGTTTATGTGAACTTTTTTCCAAAATATATTAACGAATGCATCCTGAAATTACAAGACCGTACCTCTAGGAAACACCCTGTATATATCTTAAAAACAACAATGTAATGTGGCAACCCAGCAGCGCATCATCATAACCAGTTTGGTTACGTCAGAATTAAAAGTCTAACCTATCAATAGACAACATTTTTTATTGTTTCAACACACTAGTCTAAACCTACATGATTAAAAAAAAGCAAAAGAATCATATTTTGTGTTGCTACAAACAAATTAGCATTTAACTTCAATATTAGCCTACTTGATTAGAATTCTACAGGAAAACAACAACACAATCAAACTAATTAATTAAAAAACTACTTACAATTCAGATTCATTTTTGATATGGTAGAAATTGGCCATATCCTAAAGAAGGTGACTCTTTTAAGGGAAAAAAGGGCCACCCAACAAACACACACGCGAAACCTTTTTTTCTAAGGCCTTGTTTAGAATTATAAAAGAAAAATTTTCATCGCTTCACGGTCATCACGGTTATACGTTCTTTCTTGGACTGGACTGACGTCAATTTTTTTGGGTTTGTTTTGCCTTTATTGGCGCCAGGCCATCGCGGAGTCTGCGCCAATGGCGCCCCTTTTTGTGTGCTTGATTTTTTATAGATGGCACTGCATGCATTCTAGCAACATTCACGGTCTAGTTTGTTGTAGATCTTTGATCATGATCTACGAACGGTGTAGTCTTCTACAAATGTTGTAGATCTTCATCTACAAATACGAATTATAATTATTGTTGATTTGAATAATAATTACAAGTTGCTGCAAGCAACACCAAAATCATCCACGATACAGCGTTGCCACATTGTTCCTATAGCAACATCTAATCATCTGATATCTGTCAAAAAAAAGTCACGATCTTTTAAATCACATGACAGCTTAGTGGGCTGAATATTTTTATTCCCAAAGACAATTTATTGATAATACTCAAAGAAAAAATGGCAATTTGTGGTCCAAAATTGTCTTTGTGCGGGCTAATTATCAGCGCCTGGGGTATCATACAATTGGTACGTATAATCCATCACAATTAATTACAAAACAATAATTCCCTCTACTTCTACACACTACAGGCTCTTATGGGAGTTTTCTATTGGATTGAAGCCGTTGCCCTAGCCGAAGACATCCCCGAAATTGGAGAATACCATTCGTTGAGCGATTTCTATTCGAAAATGACCAACGGATACCAACAGGTAAAGATTACGCCCATGTATACAGTAACTTTTGATTGACTGTTTCAGAATGCAATTAATTGCTGGATCGCAGCCCTGCTATACCTCATCACGATGGCCCTGTCAGCCCATCAGTTCTGGTTGAACAACCGATCATCTCTGAGTGTTTAGAAAAAAATCGTGGCCAAAATCAGTATTTTACGCCTTTATAATAGGCCACCCTAAATTCAAGCCTGTACACTCTTAAATCTTTATTTGTCCATTCCTAAAATAGATTATAGTTGTTTTAAATAAGTTTATTTTTATTAGTTCTTTAACACAAGTCATGATCCATTATCTTCATGTGCAAAATCCTTAATTTCAAGTCATGTAGGTATGAATCATATCTGACTGTGAAATAATAAAAGAACAGGAATAATTAACAGTTATTGTAAAAAATAAATTATTTAATTTAGTAAATGTGTTTTAAAAAACAATAAGATCCTCTAACAAATGTCTAATATAATAGTCCAGGAGGCAGTGAAATTTTTTAGCACTTATTTTCCTAGTTGGTGCATATTAAATAGTCTGTTTTCTTAGTCACACAAAACAATAATTTTCTAGTCTGGCTGAAATTTTTGGATGGGTTTACAAGATGAATTGAAAATACAAGTGCATTTATTTTCCTAGTCATAAATATTCCACATTTACTAAAATAGAACATAAAGTATATGAGAATAGCAGTCTGGCTTATCTTAAGTCACGGAATGTGAGTCTGGCTGAAAATTTTCGGATTCAATAGTTTTACCGATTTTGCGGATCGGTTACCCTTATTTTTCCAAGCTTGAAATTTAGCATATAAATTGATACTATCATTAACTGTAATTAAAATTAAAGTCTGGCTGCTTCACGGAATTGGCAAATGAGTCTGGCGGCATGTTCAAAATCGGGAAAATAGAAAATGTTTGCCCTTATTTTCCCAAGTTTGAAAATTTGTCATACGATAGATTATACTATACAGAAAAAATACGTCTGGCTGTCACTTACAATCACGAACTGTCAGTTCGACCAGCATTTGATGATATGAATATTATGATGGTGTGGTGATAATGGGTAGTATGAATAAAAATGAAGTACTTGCTACTACTACAAGTATTAGTATGTTCTACGTAGTATTTACTCCAAAACGAAGTAGATACTACATTTCGACACTACCGGAAATAAGTAAATGCTTCTTTGTGAAGTAAATACTACGAAGAATATACTAATACTTCTAGTAGTAGCATGTACTTCGTTTTTATTCATATCACCCATTAGGAGAAATTGATGAAGAAGATTATTAATTTTAATTATATTTTCTATTCGTCATTTAAATATTGATTATTATGTTTGATTAAATATAGTTATATATTTTTCCTTAACCAGATTTTGGTAGATACGTAGGTACATTACTCAAAATACCATGCAAAATAGAGTCTTCTTGCATTTTTATTAAAATTAATGAATTCGTCAATAGTTATCTACATTCCAAGCATTTCGCGCACTGGATATAAAAATAATTAATTTTTATCTTGAATAGGCACGCGAAAGTAAAAGTGACTATTATACTAGCATGTTTCAATTGCGCTTTCGCTCGCCTATGCCAGATAAAAAAATGTATTTTCGTAGGGGTGGATGAAATAAATATAACGGGTACCTACATGTGACACTAATAACCTGTATAATCGAATCGAATTTAGCGCGCCTGCGATCATTCGACAAATCTGGCAAGGCCTTGGGGGTGTTCCATATTAGCCAGATTGTATTTTAAGCTGACATTATAATATAGGCCATCATCAGATAAATTTTCATGACTGCGAAAATGAGGAAACTTTTTTCGTTGAAAATTTTTCAAGTTTCCACTTGCCAGACATTATCCATATTCACAGATTAGCCAGACTATTTTTTTACGTAATTTCAGTATACCTCTTACTAGTAGAACTATTTTCATCACTGGAAAAAAAAGGACCCTGGTTTCGTATGTTCTGACGCATTTTCCGCCACAACCCATCGGAAAACGCCCCCTAAATATATATGAATTTTGCTCAGAATTACTGACCCTACAATTCTATCCATGTTTCGTGACTGGGAAAATTAGTACCGAAAATCGTCACTGCCTCCTAGACTATAAACACATGATGTTTTCTCAGGATAATTGTACAGGGTGGTCCTTTTAATAGGAAATATCAATTTCTGAGTAAAATAAACCTTCCACTCATATTTCATGAAATCTTGATTGGTGCAAACAATGACATCGTAACACAGATAAACACCACATTCATAAACTGATTTTTGTTGTGATGATAAGACCCCCCAGTGGCCAGATGGGGTGAGCTGCTTGAGGGGGGTCATGGTAGGGCAATGTAGTAGGGATGCATCAGTCACATCTGATGTAAACAAGACCTGAATTCCCCTCTGAACCCGTCATTCACTTGACCAAAATGATGAGGGAATGCACACGGGTGCAACTCCTTTAACTATCTGTCTGCCTCTAACTCATATTAGGTTAATGGGCGCGTTGACATGCCAATCGATTGCAGCGAGTGTTCCGCCTGTCTTACAGAACCGGAGGTGCCAGTAATCGTTTTTAGTCTGAACCTCCAACTTTTTGAAGCAGTCATAACAGGATAAAATAGGTCTGTTTCTGCAGAAATCACAAACCAGTCAGAGTGAAATTCATTGGTTGAAACTAGACTGGTTTGTGATTTCTGCAGAAACAGACTTGATATCAATTCGTAACAATTTGGCAACCAAATTGCAGGCGATACACCGGTATTGCTTTGTGGTGTTGCTCAAATATGGTTGAAAATATCAAAATGCTGCATGTGGTTTGCATCACTGAAGATTTCATGAAATTTTACCATCAGAATGTATCTCGCTTAGAAATAATTGACCTTTCCTATTGAAATTGGAGGACCTTGTACAATCAAAATCAAGTGAGGAAATTGACAGAAACAAAACAGTAATCTTAATCATATTATATTTAATCGATACATAACTACAAATTGGATATTATCTACAATTATATAAAAACAAAAAAAATGTACAATTTCCAAAAAAAAAACCTGAGGAAACTGTTCCAATAATTTAATTACGGAAGTGTACTCTGGTTGGTGGAAGTGGGACCCTCCAAAGCCAACTCAAAATAAATTATAATTTATAATCGAATATTACAATTATCTTATTTTTACTTTTGACAATAATATTGAACCAGAATTTGGTGCTAATCAGAAGAGTCACTGTTATCAAAAACAAACCAATTATCGCGATCCCTTCGGAGAACGAGGGGTGTTGATTTACTAGTGCTTGGTCCAGGATTAACTTCCCTAAATCACGACGAGTATTATTAAATATATAATAAATATATATTTTTTAAAAATCCATTACCTAATTTCGCTTTTAACAGCGGGCACTCTGAAAGATTCAGAACTGGCGTTGCTAAAGGAATCGTCAAGACCGCGTTCTCTTGAATGATGTGGTGGAGGGCTGTTCAATCCGTTCCTAACAATTTTAATTTGACTACAGTCTCTTGAATGTTGTGGCGGAGGACTGTTCAATTCGTTTCTAACAATTTTAATTTTTGTTGTTGAACTTGAAGGCTCTGAAATAAAATACACACACAATAACAAAACAAATAAAAATATCAATTACCTGTGTGGCGACTGCTTGAAGTTAAAGTTTCAATTTGAACAGAAGTGTATTGTCCATTATTTGATAATTCCACTTTTGATCTTGTAGTCTTTGGCGGCATTTCCATGTGGTATCTACTGTTGGATAGGGAAGATGACGATGTACTTGGCAATCTAACGTCAGAGCTGAAATTAATACAAAGATAAACAATAAATGGTAGTACTTAGTGGAAATAAAAAATTACCTTGAGCTACTAGCTGTAGACAAATCCATAGGAAATATTTGTGTGGGAGACAAATCAGGCATTGTTTGATCCCGGCGCGACGATCTTTTTTTGTTTTTATTTTTCTTATTTTTCTGTTTCATTTTTTTGATATATCTTATTAGTGGCTTATCTTCATCAGAATCCGATTGGCTGCTGATATTAACCTCTGTGCTGGTGGGTGTAGTGTCAAAGGAGAATGATTTACTCTTGTTTACCTTTTTGCTTGCTGTTAATTTTTTCTTCATCTTCCTGCGCTTGTAATACTTTCTGTAAGATTCTTTTTCGCTTTCGCTTATCTCACTTGAACTAACTTCAGGGCTTGAAATCCATCTCCTTTTATTTTTTCTATCCACCCACATTTGTTTTTTGTATCTAAGTTTTGGTGGTAGATTGCTAACGCTAACCATTACAGGAGATGAAGATCCTGAAGGTGATGTTGAAGGAAGAGATGGAGGCTCTACTACAGTAGACGAAGGCCAAGATGATACTAAAATAGGATCATCTGAATCAGTATCAACAAGGTCAATTGTTACTGGTTCAGCTGGGGTGGGTTCAACCAGAACAACATCACTATCTTCACTGTTGCTTAGAATTTCCACACGCTCCCTGGAATCGTCATCATAAATGGGAGCAGGAGATTGAGGCCTTAAATGCAAACATCAATGTATTTTTAATCAGAACATTATTTTTATTTATGTACCTGTTTGTGTAAATCGAGTACCTATCATATCCAGTCATGTCAAGAGGAGACCTCATGAAAGAGTAAAACTCGTGCACAAAATGATCAGTCTTATTATCCAAATATTCGCGGAGCATGTGCCGGAATGTGAGGCTGCAAATGTGATAATTGAGTATCCGGTCCAAGATCAAATCAACCAGATACATTATCAGCTGCGTATTCTCGTACAATAAGGCATTTAGTTCGCGATTTAGCCAAGGCACTAGGCGTTGTCTCGCTGCTGGATTAGATCTAAAAATATTAAGATTTTGTTTAATGATGAACACAATTTTTGCTTTCTGTAGTAATATTCCAACACAAACTCAAAAAAAATCAGACATGGAGATCTAGTAGCGCCTTTTATTATTATTATTCCAGAACAGTTATAAACAGAGGTAAGAGCTCGATGGAGGTAACAAAAACATTTTCGAACTTATGAACTAAACTAGTTTAGAGAACATTTAGAAATGCCTCGAAATAGCAGTTAGATGTAACCTATTTCGTAGAATTTGAAAATGTTACTTGGAACAATCGAACCAGAAACAAAAGAATTACGACGTATATCCTTGTTTTTTAAATGGAATACCCATTTTTTATTTTATATTTGAAAAGCGAGCATGTTTTATTGTATCCTACGATATAAATTTTGTTAATATTGTTTATGCACGATCGGGCGGTAAGTTGATCTTACCGCCCATCTCTTTTAGGAAATAAATCACCCAGAATCATTTATTGTATTCACCAAACAACTATAGCTACATTATTACCTACCAAAATCAGTGTGGATAACCATGAAAAATATAAAAGTTGTTGATTCTTGGAAGATTTGCAAATACAGAAGTTGTCAATTTTTCAGTTGAAACATACAGGCGATACAGTCTACAAAACTTGTAGATAAACATAAATACTAAATTCTTAAATTATTTTCCAGTATATAACAGTGGCGATACATAGTTATGTTTTTTCATATGACTCCTCCTGTATACAGGGTGTTTGGCGGAGGTGCCAAACTTGGTGGGCGTATAGATAGGCCCATTTCGAAGATATTTTATTATTACCCTTGTGCCCTTAAGTTACTTTTTTTTAATGTTTATTAAAATGTTTGTTTCATGTGTTTTTGATCTGTAGGGTATCACGAGAGGTATCCTTAATCTAATAAAGTAATAATTAGGCACAAATACTACCAAAATAATTAGCATTTTTCTAAGCATTTAAAAAAAAGTTACAGAAGTCAAAAGGTCCATTTTCGAAAGTTCTTGAGAATAATACAAAAGCAATGATATAAAAAACGGGGACCTTTAGGGCACAAGTGTATTAATAAAATATCTCCAAAATGAACCGATCTATACCCCCACCAAGTTTGGCTAACCCTCCGCCAAACACCCTATAATATGACATTACTGGCCTCTGTGGAAATTTCTAGACATATTTCATTTACAATGTCATATACCTATCTTCAACTGTTTCGGAAATATTGACAGTTTACAATTGACTTTTTTACATCTTTAACAGACTGTAAAACTTAAACGGTTGATTTTACAGCAAAATCGAATTTACATTCCTTTTCTAGATTTTCATAAGCTATCATTTGACACCAATTTTGAATTTAACCAGAGATTAATAATTCAAGCGGAATTTTTATTAATGGATTAAATTCAAAGTTGGTGTCAAATGATAGTTAATGAAACTCTAAGACAAGAATGCATGATCGGTTTTGCTGTAAAATTAACCGTCAGGTTTTACAGTGTGTCAAAGATGCAAAAAACTCAAATTTCAACTGTCAATATTTCCGAAATAGTTAAAGATGGGTATAATAATAATACTGCTGCAGAAACTTGAATTCTATGGCTTTAGAGGACGTGTATTGAGTTGGCTAAGGTCTTATTTGTCCAATAGGTGTCAGATGGTTCATTTTGCTGATTGTCTGTCAGGGGAATTGGGTGTCACAGCGGGTGTGCCTCAGGGCTCTGTACTTGGTCCGCTCTTATTTCTCATCTATGTTAACGACTTACCATTAATAATCAGAAACGGCCATTGTACATCCTTTGCCGATGACACTACTCTGCTTTGGCATAGCAAGGATCCACATAATCTTAGTGAAATGATAACCCAGGATCTGGCTAGTGTGAAAAGATGGTGTGACGGCAACTGTTTGTCTTTTAATGTATCAAAGACAAATATTTTAAATTTTAAGTGTATGCTAAATGATATTTGCTTAGACTCTCAGCCAGTCACGGAGACAAATTATAATAAATTTTTAGGCTTAGTTATCGACGATAGGTTAGGGTTTGACAAACACATTGAGCAGCTGTGCTCGAAACTAGCATCAAGCTGCTTTGCAATAAAAACAATTAGGAGTGACCTGAATGTTGCAGTGGCTAGAGATGCGTATTTTGCTTTAATTGAGTCACATCTAAGATATGGTGTATGCTATTGGGGTAATTCATCCGCTTATCTTTTGAATTCTTTGTTTTACAGAAGCGTGCCCTAAGGTGCCTGTGCGGGCTTAGTTTTAGGACGTCGTGTAAACCATATTTTATTAGTGAACGAATTTTGACTCTTCCAGAAATTATTATACTGGAAACTGTCTGTCTGATGCATAAGAAGCATTCCTCCATCATTCACTCCTTAAACACAAATAATACCCGCTCATCTTTTAATATAAATTTGCCAATTCCTAAATTGACACTGACTCAAAATTCGATTTTCTATAAAAGCAAAAAGATTTTTAATCACTTACCAATGTCAATTCGGAAGATAGTGTCATACAGATTATTTAGACAACAGGTAAAAATGTTGTTGCTTGAAAAGGCATATTATAGCATGGAGGAATACTTCCTTGACCATTTTTAGATTTTTACATTTACGTTTTTGTGTTTGTCTTGTGGTTTGAACTTGTTTGTAACATATTATTTTATTTTATTTTATATAGTATGCTTGTATAGTTTATATTCTTAGCACTAAGTTTGGCTTTGTCTACAACAATTGTTTTTTTGACAATAAAGCATATTTGATTTGATTTGGATTTGATTTATATGACATTGTACATGAAATGTGTCTAAAATTTTTCCGCAGAATCTAGAAAAGTCATAATATACAGGGAGAGTCATTTAAAAAAACAACTTTTTGTCACCACTACTTATTGGACCACCTACTACTCTACAAGTTTTATATTTAGTTTTTTCATCGATGTTCGTTAGTATAGGAGATATGGACCACCGTGCGCTTAGTAACTCACCCTGTATATCATGGTATATATCAGCTGATATATATCCTCGCGCCTTGCACACGGCTGATTTGAACAGAATCTGATATTTGTGAGTTTTTATAGCTCGATTAAAACACAGTTTGCTGTTATTTTAATAACTTTAATCTTAGGAAAAACGTGAACAAGAATCAACGACACTTTCGCTTTCTATATAATACAAAACCCTAACTCGCTTGGCAACACAGCAAAAGCTGTCATGTGTAATTTACAAGTGGTGCCATCTATTGACGAGAGGCCAAAGCTAAGTAATTACAGGTTTCAGTACAGGTTATATGTGAGAAGGAATCCGTAACAGAATCTACCATAAAATCTTTCACAATAATGTGGAAACCTTGTCGGACAATTTTCACGGGGCATATGGGCAGTGGGATGCGTATTATGATAAGACTGATTTTACATTAAGCCTGCGACATCTGTCTACAATATGACTGTTTATAATGTGAATGTTTATAGTATAGATACATGCTTGATATGTTTTTTAATATTGATGTTCATTGATATATTTTTAGGGTTTATGTATGCTCGAGTGTATGCTTTTTTACAATTATTTTATATTTTATTATTTTGGAAACTTCTTTCAATATTGCTTGTAATTACCAAAGTTTTATCTCTGTTATTAGTTTTTAGTGTTGTTTGTTCCTTAGTCCCAAATTTTTTTCTCTTGAGAGCTTTGTTAATAGTATATTCCATAACAAGTGTGGAATAAGCAAAATTCTACACGAGAGGCTTGTTCCCTGAGCCAGAGGCGAGGGGAACGGCTATTCGAGTGTAGAGTTTTGAATTCCACTCGTGTTTCAGAGTATACTTTTTCTACGACTTCAAATCAAACAACTGTAACAACCAATATGAGTGTGACATGAACATTGAACTCATTGTTATAGACCGGAGTTGACTGATGCCACTTATGTTATGAACCCGGAGTTTTCCGCTGGCTCCAATGTTATAAATGTCGGATTATTTCTAGGCCTTCACCTATTATCCAGTATAAAGTAAAAGTAAAACTCGAAATAACTTGGAAGTGTAGTTTATTTTTGACTGATATGGAAAAGTTATGTTCCAAAGCGACTGTTATGACCTGACTGTTTGCTATCGATGTTATAATGTGACTGCCTTAAACTATAATTCTGAAACCTAAAGTAACCTGAAGGGCAAGGGCAATTCTCACCATCTGGAATAATAAAATTATATAGGAAAAAGTATTGTATCTTTGGCGGCAAGAACACATGGGTTATATTTATTTATATGTTACAATAATTTGGGTTTCTAGTTTCTGCAATAGAGGTACTGAATACCGACAAACGGAAACATCTTGTTGGGGTATTGATGTTTACAGGACATTGGTTGTAAAATAATTCTATCCGGCTCATCTTTAAAACCTAAATAATCAATGAGTTATAAAGTACCTAATTGATGAGGGACTAAACCTGACAGATGGTGGAATGGGTCACTTTCACATTTTTCAAAAACATATTTAAATTATTCTTTTAGTCATTCTAATACTATCTGTATACTTTTTTTCGGAAAAGGACGCTTATTTTTGAAAAAAAAAAAATATTTAAAAATCGAATTTTTAAACTGGTGCGAAAACGCGAAACTGGTTTGTGACGTCACAAACCAGAAAATCAACAAAAAAGCGAGGATGTCAAATTTCTCATTAGTAAATCATTACACATTTCACTAGCTAGAAACTATTCTCGTCCTTTACTAAAATATAAAAAAAAGATGGGTATAATCGTTATAAACTTATTTTAATTTCGCATTTCTAAATGTGGCAACAAGCACATCAAAATCGGCTTTAGCCAATCAGAGGGCGTTTTCAATCACGTGATTTTTTGTTTAAATTTTAAATTTTCATTTATTAATTTATTTAATAATCTGACTGAAATCTTGCAAAATATTGTTCATTCTTGGTTCCATTGATGTATCTGCATCAAAAAATATCATAATTTGCCATATTCCTGGCTCATGAAAGTGGCCCATTTGTTAGAGAGAGGAATTCTGATGAACATATATGTGATTGTTATTAATAATAAAGTGATAATAAATGATGAATTTACTGGTTCACAACATCATGTCATTCCATATTTTTATTTTTTGACAATAATATGTCAAACGTTGTTGTCAAATAGCATTTTCTATTTTCAATTACTTTTTTCTCCTGTAAAATCGTGTGAAGATTTTCAAAATCCTCAAAATCCTACAAAATCAATAAAGATATAATATGTCTGTTCATATTTTAAGGAGTTCAGTTAACCACCTCTCGGGTGGATAAGAAAATACTTCTCACAAAACTGCATGCATTAGGCATACATGAGCCTCTTTTCTCTTGGTTGAGAGCAATTTAAAGGAAAGAAGGCAAACAGTCAAAATCAATTGTGCATGAACAATAGTTTAGACTTGAACAGATCTTGGGGTCTGGCTAGATTAGCTTTCTTCTAGTTTTCACATTGAGAGGACTATTATCAGGGCCATGAGAATATTGGGATTTGGTTTTAGGACTCTGAGTGAAATTAATATTTTTATCCTAAAAAATTTGTTTTGTGTCCTTGTCTGATCCATTGGCAACCCTATTATAAAAAAATCAAAGACAGCTTAGAGGGAGTGCAGACAAAATCGCACTAGCGAAGACACTAAGAATAATATATTTTGCCAACTTTGAGGCAGTATTAAAATACGGTATTATGTTTTGGGGAGGGGATATTGGGATACAGGATGCTTTTGTTTTTCAGACCACATTAGTCACGGTTATAACCTCAAAATTTAGATGTTAGATATCCTATACATAGATTAACTCGAGGATTAACTTTAACAGAAAAATGTCCACACTGCATGTGCCTTAGATTGTATGATAAGCTTCCTGATAGTTTCAAGAGAATTGAACAACAGAAACTCTTTAAGAAAGAAGTGAGAAAACTTTTAACAGACGCAGTGTATAATTTATTGGAATTTTATAATGGGGTTTAATCAGCTAGATATAATTTATTTTTTGTGTGACGACATGTCACTTTCTTTATTCATGTTTTTACATATTCAGTATGTTTACAATCGTCGACAAAGTAGTAAAATGATACATTAAGACAGGCAAAATACAATGTTTACATGAATATATAGTAATCCTACAATCTAATATACAAAACAGACACTAGTTAAAAAACTTGAGAAATAAATTCTTCAAAATTGTAAAAGGCATTACTTATTAAAATTTCCTTAATCCTATTTTTAAAATTTTTATAATCTAAGATTTTTATGTCATCAGGTAACACATTAAAAAATTTTATTGCCCAGTAACCAGGTCCAGTGTGACACCTCTTTAACCTCCAATAGGCAGGAACGAGGTTATCTTTATATCTAGTATTGTAGTCATGCTTGTCTTTGTGGCACTCAAAGGAATCCAGTCTCTGTTTAATATACAAGAGATTCTCAAGAATGTACTGAGATGGCAAAGTTAGAATTCCGAGTGTCTTAAAAGCATGTTTACACTCATCTCTGAAACGAAGTCCAGCTAGGATTCTTACTGCCCTCCGCTGTAGACTAAAGGCTCGACTGGTGTCAGCAGCATGGCCCCACACAAGAGTAGCATAAGAAAGATGCGAGTGAAAGATAGAGAAGTATGCTATTCGCATTATGTCTTGAGTGACACAGTTTTTGAGGTTTCGCAGAACGAAGATGCCTCTACTTAGCTTACTGCATAGCTCATTGATGTGGGGTCCCCACTGTAGTTTTGGATCAAGCTGAACTCCTAGAAATCCAACACTGCCTGTCTGATTTATGTCCCCATTATCTCTCATTGAGAATACAATTTGTTGTGTTTTTCCAGTATTAAGCAGCAGTTTATTCATTCTAAACCACTCCTCGGCTCCTTCCCGTGCCTCCCTGGAAACCTCCAAAGCCCTATCAAGAGCGCCCGCAGAGAAAGACAGTGTTGTATCGTCAGCGAATAGTGTGTACTTGGCTTTGTTGTCAATGGCTGGTAGATCATTAATATACACTAGAAACAGTATCGGACCCAGCACTGACCCCTGCGGGACACCGATGTTCATTACTCGTTCCGATGAGTCCACCCCAGAGATTCTCACTACCTGCACTCTGCCTGTAAGATAGGATTGAATTAAGTTGATACTTTCTGGGCAGAAGTTATAGTTTTTAAATTTTTGCAAGAGGATGCTGTGGTCGACACAGTCAAAGGCCTTGCTAAGGTCACATAGCAAGACTGAGGTGAACTCAAGATTATGAAATGAATCTATTATATATGAGACCAGGTCCAGGATGGCCAGCACTGTATTCTTGCCTTCCCTAAAGCCAAATTGGCTTTTCGAAAAGTAGTTATTATTTTCGAAGAAATCAACCACTTGTAGAGACATACATCTTTCAACTACCTTTGAAATTATTGGCAGTAGTGAAATTGGTCTATAGTTTTCAGGTAGTTGAGAGTTACCTTTTTTAAAAATGGGGGTTACAACAGCTCTTTTAAGAACTTGAGGGAATGTATTTTCTTGAAAGCATAAGTTTATCAGTTTAGTAAGAGGGCTTATTATAATATTTTTTACAGATTTAATTAGTTTTACATTCAGTCCATAAAGGTCACGGCTATTTTTATTTTTCAAGTTACTGATGACGTCTCTAACTTGGTTGAAAGTTACTGGAGAAAAAGAAAAGTTATTTCCTGTGGTGGTCAACTTCATATCAGGAAGACGTAAGTTGATTGGTGGAATATCTTTTAATAGATTATTTGCAATTTCTGCAAAATACTGATTAAAGTTATCTGGAGAGATTGTATGATTTTCAGAACTTTTCTTATTTTTTGTAATACCCCGTTTGCAATTTATAATCTCCCAGACAGCACGTGACGGATTACCAGATGTCTGAATGTAATTCTTGTTAGATTGAAGCTTTGCTGTCCGTATTTCGGCTTTGTATCTTCTCCTAAGTTCTATATACATTTGAGAAATTTCTTCACTTTGATATTGTATACTGAGGTCATGCAAAAAACACAACTGTTCACGCACTTTGTATTACTATGTAAGCAATTTTGAAATAAAGGATTTATTATTATTATTATTCCCTTGTGTGAACAAGAGTAGTTTAGTCTAAGTAAGCTATAGTCTGGATATCACTAAGAATCACACGACTCAGAGAAAGTTTGTGCCTTGCAAACTTGATAAATTTGTGTTGAATACTCTCAAGCCTATTGATGTGGATCTGATAGTAAGGTGACCAAACTATGCATGAAAATTCAAGAACGGATCTGACTGACTAGTGAGGTGTAAAGAATGTTGATGGGGTGTATACTTGAAAAGCCCCTAGTACCTCTCTCAACAAAATCCAACTAGCCCTGCCAATTACCACTTCAAAATGTTTGGTGAACATTAACCTAGTATCTAGATAGACACCAAGATCTTTAATGACAGAAACTTCAGACAAGCGAACATTATTTAAGCTATACTCAAAGGGAACCTTACGGGTGAGTATACTGAATCTTTCACAACAACCCTTATCAATGTTGAGGGACATATCATTTCGGTGACACCAATCATCACCAGAATAAGTATCTCTTGAGCTGAAGTCACCTGACGATACAACTTCAAGTCATCAGAAAAGAGTAAAAAATTTGAGGAGAGCAATGATCCTAAATCATTGATAAATAAGCTGAATAGAAGGGGGCCCAAGTAAAAGCCTTGGTGTACCCCAGAGGATGCACGGAAAAGAGAAGAAAAACAAACATCAATCTTGACTTGTTGTATTTCTGTTAGTAAGTAAGGTAAGACTTCATCCATAATAGAAGAGGTTCAGAAGCGCCATAACGTGAGAGCTTGGAAAGAAGGATGTTGTGGCTTATTTACCTTACCAAAGGCTTCACTGAAGTCAGTATATTTTGCATGAGTTTCTGCATTGTCATCAAATGACGAATTTATAAAGTTTGTAAAGAGAAACAGGTTTGTGACAGCAGATCTACTGGCTGTAAAACCATGCTGTTGGCTGATAAGATAATTATGAATTACCTAATGAAATTTTGCAAAACTGGTCCAAGGAACATTAAACTTACTTTTATTAGTTTTTTTTGTATCAATTTCACTAGAATTATTATTTGATTTTAGTTTCCCAACACAAATTTTGATTTCTCTCAAAGTTAGAGGGCAAAAAAAAATCGTACTATTCATTATATTAAAAATATTATATTTGCGTTTCATTGGGGTATCAAATGAACAATTTCTTTGATACATTATTGTATACAGGGTGATTAAAGTAGCCCGTGCATTAGCTTGCAGATGGATTAGATAATAATAATATTAATGGTGGGTTAATCAGAAATCAGCAATCACTCTATCAAACTCAAACACAAGACATAAAAGTTAACAAACTTTCTTATGTCTCGTTATTTTGTGTATAAATTACATTCCTATAAGGTCAACTTATCATATATTATGTCTTATGTTATCTGTCTATATAAACCCACCATAAAATCATTTATCTCAGTTTCCTTTCGGTGCATATCGAGTTTCATGATTCTTTTCTTATCAACATACATATAAAGAATCATGATCAATGGACTTACCTAAAAAAGGTTGGTGAACACTCTCTGTACCGCCCAGTCAAGTCTGGCCTAGCAGTAACCCATAAATTCTGAGCATAAAGTGACCTACGGAAAGAGGAAGAAGAAGAGTCTCTTCTCATCCGTGAAGGAATCAAATGTATAGTATTGCTAAAACAAAAACAAAATAAATCTCAGGAAATTAATAAATTTAAAGTTGTAATACCGTGGTAATTCAGTATTTAGAGTAATTCGTCCATTTGTAATTGGATGATTCAGCAACATTTCATGGATAGCATGTTCGCCTCCAGTGTCCAGAGTAAATGTAGTTCTATAAGTAGCAGGAATATCATTTTTTGAAGAAAAAAATTGCAGCATTTAACTTACCTAACATGGAATTCCTGCCTCTGAGGAAGTTGTAAAGGTAAAATCCACAAATCCTCATGTAATCTATCGACATCATTCCTGGGAATTTCCACAACATGTTCGTCATAGTCCTCACTAGATATAACATTGTGAAGAATTGATTTGAATGGTTGTTTGCACAATGGACACTCAGCTTTGATCTGTACCGAAACATGTTTTGTAAATCAGACAAGTAAAACCTTGCTAGCTTACCTTAGACCATTCCAGTAAGCACTGAAAGCAAAACTGGTGCAAACAGGAGTCGGAAAAGCACTTATTTGTGCACCCTCCAAGGCATATTGCACAGTTGGGCGGTGTATTCGCAGAATTGGGTCTTATTATTGGCATTTTTGGTGCCATCGCCATTGCGATAATTGACTTTTAGCTCGGCGTATCGAAACGAAATGGAAATGGCATTCAGAAATATAAAATAATGGTTCTCAAAGGAACACTCTTATCACTGTCAAAATAATATTTGTAGTTCGACTGGTGCTGACCTTGTTCCTTCAAAGCAATGGTGGAAAAATCGAGAAGGGAAGCAAATCTATTGATGTAAAAGTGATTTCAATTGGAAATATAGGCTTGAAGCGAGAGAATGAAATCATTAAAATGGGAAAATGGCCACGGAAACTTACGATTTTTTAATAATCAAACAAAAAAATAACACTAAACATCCTCCACCACCACCTACAATTTTGTAAAATGGGCTTCAAGCAAGCTCGATCTTTAACCATTTATTGACAGTTTTAGTTGACACATGGCAGCTGTATTCGAGAATGTAGTAACGGTGTGAACTTAGCTGACAAGGAGCTACCAAAGTGCCGAGGATTTGCCGAACGATCATGGGCGGAGGGTGGCGGAGGTCATCAATTAAATGAATTAAATTCAAAATGGTTTATACAGGGTGTTCCTAAATATCATGTATAAAAGGAAGGGGGCGATTCTTTGGTTTATTTTATGACAAAAATTACTTATAAACATAGGTCCGCAAACGCTTCGTTAGCGATTTACAGGGTGTTTAAATTTTAATATTTTTTTAGTTTTTTTCTTTATAGCTACCTACTGCAATGATTGAGGGATTAGCTTAAATTCAAAATATAGGTTACGCAATAGGAGCTAAGATTGCACCTTAGGGAGGCCGCACATCAAAGAAACATGAAACGTAAAACATGAAACATAAAACGTGAAACACGTTTCATGAAAATAGAATAAGAACAAACAAATACAAGTCCGCACACCAATGAAACGAATTTGTTTCATGCGCGAGAAACATTTTTATTACATGAAACGTGTTTCATGAAATAGATCGCGTTCTATTTTTTTGTATCAGTTTCACTGTTTCTCTTTATAGGTAATAATTTTGTGAATGTTTGTATATCTACTCTTTCTATAAAACGATTGAAATTTGGCAGGATAATTGTTTAATTCCTTTGCAACCAAATATATGCTATGTTTATGATTTATATTATTGTATGGATGTACCCAGTAACGCCGTTTCCTTTTTTTTTGCTTTTTGATGATAATAATTATATTTGAAACAAGAAACAAGAATTATTTTTGTTTCTTCAATTAGTATGCACGAAAGAAACGGTTTCGCTTTTCGTAATTTATTGTTTCATGTTTTACGTTTCATGTTTGATGTTTCACGTTTCATGTTTCTTTGATGTGCGGCCTGCCTTAGATTACACATATCGAACGTTTGCCAGAATCTACAGGGTGATGTTTTTTCAAGAGTCACGTCGCCTTTTCTGCCCCTGAATTTTTTCGCGGTGCGCCGCTGGTGGTCTAAGAAACGAAATAATTGTCCTACCTTATTTATAAACTTTTTGTTCTCTTGTAGTTTTGTCGTATCACCGACCCTTATCGAGAAAAAAATTAAATAACTACAGTGACTCAATAAACATAAACCTTTTCCACCAACAGAGTGGCGACAATAGAGATCCCGCCGCCATATTCTTGCTCATTTTCAATAGAAATCTAGACATAAGCCACGTCCACGCCGCCATATTCTTGCTTATTTCCAATATGAATACATTAAAATTTCAACACCCTGTAGGTAACAAAGCCATTGCGAACCTATGTTTATTGGAAATTTTAGTTTTAGTCATAAAATAAACCAAAGAATCACCCCCTTCCGTTTGAACATGATATTCAGGAACATCCTGTATATTTGAAAAATAACTCGGAATTATATTAGGTATACAATCTGGATGTATTTTCATCCATCCCATTGAAACCTCATTAGCATTAGACCGGTAGAATAAGATAAGAATGTCCTAATGTCGTCACACACATAACCTCACTTTTGATGGGGGGGGACATAAATTATAGGTCTGTTCCAGCACTGCAGAAAACCGTAAATAGCGTAAAATTTGTGCGTAGAAACCAAAATTCGTTCACTGAGTGGTTTCGCCTCCACCAGGGCGCACAGAATCACATAGCTGAATTCTAGAACGCACAGAGCGTTATTCGGGAAAAAAACTATTGCGATATTCTGGATTTTACAGGAATGGACATGTGTGATAGATGATGATTTCACCACTCCTGGAAAGGCGAATGTCTTAGTCCGTTATTAAATAATTGTTTTTGTAGTGCTGCAGATCTCGCCAATTCAATGTTGTAATAACCCCTATATATTACATTATAATTATGACACTGTGATCTAGGAGCTAGAAACTGAAAATTTGACAATTCGATGGACTAGTGAACCAGATATCCAACGCAACGCTGATTTCATAACCCTTATCGGTGTGTATCTACTACAACCTCATACATATACAATTCTCATTACCTTATTCTATAAGCACTGCAATCTGAATAGAAGTTGATTTACATGATATCGATAGGGAGTTAGGGGAGGTTAGACACCATGAGACGCGTTTACCATGAGACAGTCGCCATTATTTTTTTAATAACGCGGATTATTTGTCTCCATTTACAGTACATCAAGTATCAAACATGTTGGTCTTATTTCTGTTGCCAGAGAAGCTGCACATGCGCTCCCGAATTTTTTGTCGGTTTCGATTTTCCGCCATAGTGAAATTTCTTTTGCTGTGAGTTCTGTACCTCATCAGTCGTTCCCAATATATTTTCATTTTGTTTGTTTCCAACACACAGGTGGATATTAATTTCATTGTTTGTATGTATATTACGAGTCGATTTTTTCACTTTTTACCAAAATATTGCGGTTTTTAACCCAGACCTACCATGGGCTACAATCTACAATGAGACACAAAGTTTGAGCCACCTTGAGAAGTGTCTCAAATGTCGAGAAAAAATATTTTGTTCAAGGCGTGTCACGGGGACGCAAAAGAAAATCTCAAAAAGGCCTGTTTAGTGCCGGATTTGTCGAAGATGTGATTAAAAACATAAATTAAGCTTTTAAGGAATGCAGCAGAGAAAAAACAACGTGAAACATCAAACATTTGCAAGATACCTATTGTAATGATCTGGGAAAATTAGTCCCGATATCAACAACGTCTTTACTGTAAAAATTAAATAATATCAAATAATCAAAAACTGAATTTCCGGTATTTCCAAATCAGTATCGGTAAATTAAAAATGAAACAAATCAATGTGACCCCAAATACATTCGAAATTATATTATTTCCCCAGCGTGATGTCATCCTAACATCCGATCAATGATCTTTTTTTAACGAGGCCATAATAATTAAATCGAATGATTTATGGCATTCTTGAACCAATGTATTTGACCCCGATAAATCAGGATATTGCGACATAATTATTCGATTTTTTGAACTAAAAATGATAAAAATTTCAAGGAAATTGCATCATTATTTTTGATAATATCTAGGTCGGCCAATGGGATTGTCTGATTGATGGTCAAACGACCGTCTATTGACGATTTTGGGGGATAATTAATAATACTTTGCGGGGGAATCGAAAAATATAAAACAGGCGGTTTTAGAAGTAGAAGGCAGTTGTCAGTTGAGTTGCCAGTTGTTAGCAGTCGAGTCTAGTTTGAGTTAAAGCCTATAGTACCTAATGAGTCTGTCCGGTTTCGCGAAAAGTTTCTTTCATGGCGTATGGCCTCGGGTTTGATTTAACTTAGAAAAAGTACGGAAAATTGTGAAAGAAATAACTTTTGAAATTCGTTCAACTTATGTGCGGGATCTAGAAAATTTTGAGTAACTAATTAAGTAATTTTACGTGTGAAAAGTTAAATATTATAAGTACTTTAAGTGATTATTAATGTTTTTCTGTCTTTTATCAATGATTCTGAATGATAAGAAGTTAATTAACATTGACTTTTAATGCCTAAAAACTTCTTGACTTTATAATCAACTTGGAACTTTATTGCATAAATATTAATCACTCGAGTGTTTTGACTATGGAACATTATTGCATAACTTTAATTGCCTTCAGATGTAATGACATTTCAATTAATTAAAAGGGGAATTTATAATGCACTTAACAATATACAGTTTTGAGTAGGAATTATGAATTAAACAGTTGGGTTTATTAGCTAGGCTAGGGATCTGAAAATAGAATTTGTTCTGATTAAACTATTAAATGGAATAGGAAATTTTGAAAAGAAACTTGATGTTCATGAAATAGAATTGTTGTCTTAAAATATTGGAAAGTTGTTAAAGGAAACTTATTATTGTTCATGAAATGAAATTTGAATTAGGGTTTTTATTTTTCAAGTAGAAATTAGTGTAAGGTTTTATAAGAATAAGTAATACCTATATCAAGAAGCAAAATAGGTAATTATTTTGTTTTTTTTTTTCATAAGCAGTCAGTAAAGGACTTAGAAAGGTGAAGGGTAGTTTAATAGGAATGAATCGGAAGTGTTGAAATGAATAAACTTATAAGTTATTAGGAATAGTAGGAATAGGGCGTTTCTTTATTTCTATGGATATTTCAGTGGTCCGTAATAATGACATTTTGAACGGATGTGAAGTAATTGAATTTAGAAAAATAGATGAGGCTGTCAGAATAAGATATTTTGCTGATTTAAATTTTTGGGTTTTATGTATAATAAAATATAATTTAGTAAACCTCAATAGTTTATTTCTCTCTCTTGCAAATAGACCCTTCCACGATTTTATAGGTAGCAGCTCCAAGGAAACAAACACCATCAATATACCGCTCGCCATTTACCTACCATCTAACTAATTAAATAGAGTACTTGGGGCGTTTTGCTACACTATGTTAAAAAGACACAAAATAATGAAGAAAAGTTATCTTACCTCCCTCGTACCGATGTATTATTTTTGAAACCTTATTCTTCTCCTTTTTTTTTGGTTTTTATGGTCTCAAAGTTCAAAAAGTGGCCCACTTCATGGCCTACCTTGAGACAAAATCAGTTTTTTTTAAATTCCTCCATAAAATAAAATACATAATATTGTGTTTATAGTTCAATCAAAAAATGTGTGAAATTAGATGAATGATTATGACGGTCACGTAACTGTAAAAATTTCTCGTTGGAACGACTCTAGTAAGAACAAATGGAGATATTATGATAGGAAATGAATTGCCAATGTTTCTTCTGAAACAGTAAAAAATAAACGAAGGAGATATTATTGTAACTCTCGAACCAGTTAAGCAAATATCAAACTGTGAAACATCAGATAAGCGACGTCTTGTAAAATCAAAATTGGATACAGACACCTTGATGCAAACTTTGGAGAAATCATGGAAACACCTCGATCCAGATAGACTTCAGGAAGCCACAGATTTCATCTTGAAAGAAGCAGACGTATTTGTGTTGTGTGTGATGGATAATCACAGAATCAAACCGAACAGTTTAACTCAAAACTCACTAAACAACAGGAAGTGGAAAACCAAATCGATAAAATGCTTTAATAAGAGGGAATTATTGAAGATTCAAATAGTCCATGGTCTATGGCCTGCGCCAGTAGTATTGGTTACAAAGAATCAAAGAAAGATCTCAGATTTTGTGTGGACTACCGTAAGAAGCTTAATTACGTCACCAAGAAGGACAGCTTCCCTCTTCCGAGGATAGACGATACATTAACAACTCTATCGGGCTCCAAATGGTTTTTCTACCTTTGATCTTGAGAGTGGATACTGGCAAGTGACAATACACAAAGATGACAAAGAGAAAACTGCCTTCAATACCGGAAGCGGGCTATATAGAATGGTTGATTGGCCAAAACCACGCGACAAACATGAAGTTAAAGAAAAATCAACATCCAATTGGACCCAAGAATACGATTCCGCTTTTAGAAAATCAAAAGGAGCATTATGTACAAACCCAGTATTGTCCTATCCCGATCAGAAATGCCTGTGGATTTTGGATACAGATGCAAGCAACACCATTAGCGCTGCACTTTCCCAAATTCAAAATTCACAAGAGCATGTCGTAGGGTACTACAGGAGAACCTTATCAAAGCCAGAACGAAGTTATTGTGTCGCGGCTCTAAAATGGCTTTTAGAAATGAAAACTCCCGAAGCTTGTTGGTTTGAGAAATTGCACCAATACGATTTCCAAATTAAACATCGACTTGGAAACCTCTGCATAAAAATGCTGACATTCTGTCTAGACGGCTATGCAAAGAAGACTGCAAACGTTGTTAAAAGATCGATATGCATATAAGAAAAACACTGGCCCAGCTGTGAGAAGATCGGGTTTTATCGATCATATATGGACTGGAATACCAAACAAATGATAGTAGATCAAGAGGCAGACCAGGAAATCGGGCAAATTCTACATCTTAAAGAAAATGATGAGTGGAGGCCACAGAGTATCGAACAAGAGTTTGATTTACAAAGCGTTGTGGGCTCAATGGAACTTTCTGGCCGCATTACTGAAAAGAGTTTGGGAAAGTGCCGATAAGAAAACTACTAAGAGCCAACTGTGTAATTACTCCAAATACATGGGGGCCTATGAAACAGTACAACGTCGGTCTCCCATTTGGAAGAATAGCAATAGATGTAACACTGTAACTCCAACCGTTCTCCAGATCCTAATGCTATGCCATCATTGCCATCCTGATCTTGGACACACTGTATATGTTTTTTTTTCAGCTCTGCTAATGAGATGTGTCTTGGAACAATAAAGCATAAATATTGATATGATTTGTTCAGTTAAAATTATCTTTAGATTTTGGAAGTATAGGTACTTGTTTGATCTTGATCAGCCTATTGATAATTATTATTATTGCCTATTATTATTGTATTTATTCATTAATTTATTGAATTTATTTAATTCATTTAAATTGAAGACCTCCGCCCATGGTCATGATCTTTCGGCAATCTTCGGCACAATCAAACAACCTATTTGTCAGCTAAGTTCACACCATTTAAATGAAGTTGGCTACTAAAACTTTTTTTTTTAATTGGAAAACTTGCACTTTTGTTGTCTCGTTTTCCATAAAGATAAAATGTTTATAATAGTTAAAGAAAAGTGTTTGGGTCTTGAAAGATTTTTGGTAAAACACAAAAGTAGCCATTATTAGCAATCATATATATACAAACATTTGGCAACAGCGCAAAAACCATCTCTAATCTAATGACACTTTTTGTTTTTGACAGTAGTAGTAAGTAGTGTGACAGTTGTGGTAGTAAAAGAGGTGGTACATTTATTTTTCTAATTTCCAAAATTTTCTTTTCAATTTTACACATTTCAAAGGAAACAGAATGGTGGACAAATTAGGTAATTATTATATGCTTTTATAATTACTTTATTTACTAATTATTATTAGAAAATTCCAACAAAACAAAAATTACACCTCTGACAAATAATCCATCCTTATAAGGTTTTGAAATTGTTGCTAAACTAAAATCGTCTTTCATGGTCTGTTTACCATCCCCATTCTTTATGCTCATTGCACGAAAGTTTTGCCACGATTTCCCCATTACATTATAGCAGTAGAAAGCATTTTATTGGGGTAATTTGCCATTTTCCCTTGTCCCAGTCTCAAGACAAAATCTCCCTCATTAGTGCAGCTTTTGAAAATCTAATTATCCTTTTAAATGTCTGTTGTAGTTAATAGTGAGGCAAATGCCAGACGTATCGCTATGGTGGAAAGTTGCTTTGGAAGTTCCGGACAAGTAAGTAATAAAGCGTGACTAATTTTGCTGATAACAATTTATAAACAAATTACTCATCACAATATAAATTGTTTTAGCCCTTGGCTGTACCAGGCAGAGTGCTAGTCGGTGAAGGAGTCCTAACAAAAATGTGTCGCAAAAAGCCTAAAACAAGACAGTTTTATTTATTTAACGATATATTAGTATACGGAAATATTATCATAAACAAGAAAAAATACAACAAGCAACATATCATTCCACTAGAGGAGGTGAAATTGGAAAGCATAGAAGACGATCCGCGAGGCTATCAACATGGTTGGCTAATTAAAACTGCCTCAAAATCTTTTGCTGTGTACGCTGCCACACCCTTAGAAAAAGGCGAATGGATGGCTCATATTAATAAATGCATTGACGATCTACTTAGGAAAAGTAAGTAATAATTCATTAGCTTTAGCGCAATTATTTTATATATAGGCAAAGGAAGTTGTTGATTTTACATTATGACTAATCAATTTTAGGTGGCAAAAAAGCAGTTGCAGAACATGCAGCTGTATGGGTTCCAGATGGCAAGGCCCCAGTATGCATGCATTGCGAAAAAACTCAATTCACCTTGATCAACAGAAGAGTATGTTGAAAAATATTTAGGCAAAAGGTTTTTCCTAATTATTCGTTTTTTAGCATCATTGCCGTAAATGTGGAGCAGTCGTGTGTGGACCTTGCTCAAATAAAAGATTTCTTTTACCAAATCAAAGTTCCAAACCACTCAGAGTATGCTTGAGGTGTTACGATCTTCTTAGTGGTGCCAAAGCCAATCATTTAGTTGATTCAGCTCAAAAAGGTTGATTTTTGGTTTATAAATTTGTTTTAGTAAAATGAAATTAATTGTATTTTAGGCAATAATCAAGATTCTTCTGGAGAAGAAGACTCTGACGACGATGATGAAGCACAAAAAGCACAAGAGGTTTATCACGATTTGGTAAGTTATTTACTGACAATTATAATAATTCAATTTTTGTGTGAATAATTGGCAAAATACAAATAATTGAAGGGTAAACTGCAGAAATATTTCTCGTACATGTTAATTTTTGTAATTCTGTGAAAAATTCATGAAAAAAAGTTTATCCCAGATGAGGGCTCATTCACAACAGGATATCCAGTGTACGCCCTGCAGGAGATATCCAAGACTCTTCAGGGAAATCTTGGTAGGTTTGGGGAAATCTCCCCATTCAGGGTTGGCTAAAACCCAGATTTCTCAAAAATTGTTTTAGGTTTTTGTGTTTTTATAGGGATTTTGTGTTTCATTGCATAACATTACTTATATTTCCAAATATCTCAGATTCAGAACAATCTCATGTGTATTTTAAATCAACAAGATTTTGGAGATTATGAAAATGAAACTTTCAAGAAAAAGTTTCAGATTGTAGGTATAGGCCAATCTGATTTACAGCTTTTGATTTTGTCAAATTTAGAGCTGGACAAGGATAGAGTTTCCGAGCACTTCAACTATCAGATTCTATGATTTGTTCATATATTTTTTTCTAAGCCTCAGATCCAGAGAGAGATTGAGAAAAAGCTTCATTGGCTCATGAATCTTGAAGCCAAGTTTCGAGTTTCTTAGTTTCAGAACAAGAATGTTGGTGTAGTGGAGTATTTTTTTTTAGAGCCTGGAATAGGAAAATTACTCAAATAATTTAGCATATTTTTTTTTACCCTGTGAAATTTTCTATTTATTTATTGCTAGTAATCCTAACTTTAGTTTTCTTTGAATTTATTTTCAGATTCTCTGATTTACTTATTATGTATTTCCAGATATCTTGAATTCAAAGCAAAATCATGTGTATTTTAAAAAGACAAGATTTTGAAGACTCTAGAAATGAAATCTTCACCAAAAAGTTTTAGATTCTGTAGGCTCATCTTATTTACAGCTATTTTGATTTTGTCAAATTTAGAGCTAAAATACAGCTCAGATGACAAAGATAGAGTTTTTGAGCACTTTAACTATCAGAGTCTATACACCATCCCTAATGTGCCTATCCACAAGTTTCTAAAAGTGTCTTAAGCTCAAGTGATGTAAGACTATAAGACTAATGGATCTTAGGGACTTCGCCGTGTCCTGTCCTATTTTTCCAGGTTTTGGTATGAAGATACCCTAATGTGCCTCCAGGCCTTTGGTATGTAGCCAAAGGCTAGGCTGGCTAGGCTACTTCTTAGAATGTTACAAAGTATCCTGTTTGCAAGTTCAGTTCTGTTCGGTAACATTATGGGATAGATCCCATCTGTCCCTGTTGACATATGGGTCAAAGGTGGTTATAGCCTATTTGACTTTTTCATAGTTGAATACTTTCTTCGAGGTCAGCCAGTCTTTCCCGGATGCTCTTCGAAGTCTAAGCTCACTCCATGTCCACTGAGTCTGATCAACTCTTTGAAGACCTCCTCTGGAATCCCCTCAGCTCTTTCTTGAACTGTTTCCCACTGCCTGGTTCTCATGGATTTATTGAATTCTGTTCTAGTTTTTTTCCTTAACAAAGGGCAATTCCCTGGTGGATGTCCTTGTTGTAAGTGGGCAATTTTCATTGAAGGCTGAGATGATTGCATCATCGAATTGATCCCAAGTCTTCAGTGTCTCCTATTGTCTTCCTGATGTTCAGCAGACTATACTCCAAGTCAGCTTTATACGCGTCCCAGTCCGTATTTCAAGGGTTTCGATAATGTACTGAAGTTGTTTTCCCTCGAATTTCAAATTTGATGTATCTGTGATCCGCGCAACTTGCCTCATCAGATACATGCCCAGTTTGTGACGTAATTACTCATATGTTGGTGTAGTGGAGTAGTTTTTTTTTTCTTCTTACTACTTTGATTTTTCACTCCAAATTTAGTCTTTTCCAAACATTGGAAAAGAATAAGTTCTTTTAAGAAAACAATTTCCAAATCAATGCAGTTAATAACTACATATTCCTGTATGAATGGGTTTTTGCCAGTATTGATTGGTTGGTTTTTTGTCTATGCCAACCCTGGGAAGGTTCAGGAAAATCTGAAGGAAATCTGGGAAGATTCGGGGAAATCTGAGGAGATCTCTTGGTAATATGAGGGATATCTGGGAAAATTTGAGAGTGACACCGTGCGCGCGTTCAGAGTGTAATTTTCTATTGATTGAGAAGATTTGAGAGGATATCATGGTACCATGTTTTCCACTGAAATAAAAATATTATACCTCATATTATAATAAATATAGCTTAGGAAAGTAATAGATCAACAGAAAATGCACATGTTGTGTTAAGGAGAAGACCTCAGGAGTTGTGTTCTGGCTGTGCACTTGTGCTGGTATTCTATGAAAAATTAGGGAGATGTAGCGAAATCTTGGGAGATTTGAGGAAATCTGTAGATATCTTGTGCATAAAAATATCTCTTGTACACCTAAACATGTTATGAGTAACTCCTCGATCCCAGGTAATTTCAACCGATAAAGGTAACATTTGGCTAAATTGAAAAAAAAAGGAACGATTTGAAAATTGTGATTAGTGGGTGTAGTTTTCATGAAACAAACCAGGTAAGTCATATAAAATAATTACTGTTGTAAATATTGTGCATGTGGATTGCAATAATCTCAGCTTGAATCTTCAATTAATATTATACATATTTCAAAAGTGCATGTGTATATATTTCTATCATCTATTTTTGTATATATTTTTAGTAGAAGGGCTGTAAGTATATAGTTGGTGCAATAAATCCTTAGTTTTTTTTTTTTTGGCTTTTTTGTTCTTCAATTATGCTTCCTTTAATTTTCAAACAATTCCTGACAATAATAAAATAAATATTTACTTTTTTAGTACGCATTCACCGAAATGCCATTATGGTACAGATGGGGCAGCAGATACATAAATGAAACTCCGCCAAGGAAAAGATCAAATGGTACCAGTTGTTTGGACCTGAAGTTTTTGTGAGAAATAATATATGAGTGCGAAATTATTATACAGGGTTGTAGAATTTACTAGTTTTTAATGGTAGCTTGTTAGTGTTCCTATAATTATACTTATTGTTAAGTTTTAATATTATGTATTATTATTTTTTATGTATTTTATGATACAAGTAGGTGGTTCTTACACTTTTCTTATCTATTTTATCTTTTTATTTATAGCATTTCATTATTAATTGTGCTGTTTTGTTTTAATAAAATTAGAATTAATATTGAGTTGTTTTTATTGAGTTCTTTTCTCTAAACACTTCAGTATTGTTGACAAAGCAACTCTTGTCCCATTTGAATCTGACCAGAAAGTTGCAGAGTGTTTTGCACAGCAATTCCAGAGTGTTTTTACTAAACTCAGCCCTACAGATATTAGACCAAGACTTCCAGTTGAATCCTACTCCAGAAGAGAAATCAGCATCGTAAATTTTACCCCAGAAAAAATAAAATTTCCATCAAGTTCTCAAGCCAAGGGTGAACTCCAGTCCTGAACTTGATTGTTATTTCTTGAAAATTGTCTGCACTCTTTAAAGGGGTCTCTGGCAGTACTTATGAATGACATAATATCCACAGGAGATTTTCCACAACCTTAGAAAAAAGCCGTTGTTATACCTATATTCAAAAAGGGTAACAAAAAGCTGGAAGAAAACTACTGAACAGTCAGCCTGACCAGCGCCTATTGTAAATGTACGGAAAAAATAATTACTGAGAAACTCAAATGCTTGTTCCTTGAAGATAATATTGTACCACCTCAACAACCTGGTTTTCTCCCCAAAATTACGAACCTCCTAACCAGACTCAATATGTGGACAAAGGCAGAGGATGAGAATGATCCAATTGATGTGGTTTTCCTTGACTTTGAAAAAGTATTTGATGAGATATCAACAATATACCTATTACACAAGCTATCTCATTTCGGACTCAGGGGCGATTTATTGCGACTTCTTGAGGAATTCCTTACAGGACGTATCTTTCAGGTTAAGACAGGAATATCACTCTCAGTTGAATACTCTATACACAGCGGCGTACCACAAGGCTCAGTCTTGGAACCCTTGCTTTTCTTGGCGTATTTGTGTGACTTATACCAAAAACTGAAGACCAAATATGAATCGTTTGCAGATGACATAAGCCTATCCTGCAATCCACTCCTTTAGTTTGCAGACCTGTACACCATTAAAGAGTGGACAATGTTTTGGAAAATGCCATTGAATGACCTCAAGTTTACAGTTCTACATATCGGCCGGAATAACCCTGAACACGATTACCTCGTCCAACAAACGTCAATTATAGAAGTTTTGAGCCACAAAGACCTAGGAGTAACAATCACATCAGACTTGAAATGAAAACAAAAAACAACACATCACTGAAATGACGAAAAAACCAATTTACTAATCTACCTCATTCAAAGCTCTATCTAAAGAAATGGTTCTAAAGCTCTACAAAGCTTATGTAAGACCAACGCTCGAATACGCCCATTCCATCTAGAACCCATATTACATCAAAGACATTGAACCGATTAAGAGAGTACAGCGCCGTATTACAAGGATACTTAATGAACTCAAAGAGTTACCCTACGAGAGCTGCCTCAACCAACTAACTAGAACCAGGGGAGATCTTATTGAAACTTACAAAATACTGAATGGTCACTATGCATGTGACATTAACTTCTTCCTCGCCACCAATACCAGAGGACATAACCAGAACTTATAAGAAGAAATTTCTTGGCACAGTTGTTTATCGATCGAGCTTCTTCACAATGAAAATCTAGCTTGTGATAATTCTGCCCTCCAGCATGACGCAGATATATTTGACAATGGTGTTCTCTATGCCAAAGCTTTTCTCAGAATCCTTTATCAGTATGGTAATGATCCAGTAAATAAGAGAGTTAATTGAAAATTAATCAATTGAATGCTCCCTAGGTTTATTCAAAAGCAAGCTTTTTTTTTACTAAATAAAATTTAACGAAAAATTTATTAATATGGATATTGTTTCATTTGATAGTTCAAAAGCCACTGCCTAGGCTATACCTGCTGACACAACCTTCGTAAGTCCTGTTGTTTGATGAATAATTACTATAGATTATCTTGTTTTTAATTTCCCCCCCTTTTTTTTTGTATTTTGCTTTTAATAGAAGACAATCGATTTGTTTTTGCATGTTTTTTTTTACTATACAGTATTAATAATTGGTCTGTTCTTAGAGAAATCACAAACCAGTCAGAGCGAATTTCATTGGTTGAAAACAGTCGGAGAAGTAGTTTCAACCAATGAAATTCGCTCTGACTTGTTTGTGATTTCTCTATGAACAGACCTAATACAGTTTTACTTAATTGTTTCTTTTTCTAGCCCAAGTTTTATGGAGATAATGAAAAAGCAGAAAAATAAATTAAATTATCCTGCTGAAACTTGAGAGAGAGAGAGGATTCCCAGCAGAACCAAGTTTCAAAATAGCCACAAAAATGTCCAATAGAGGATTATGAATAAAGATATATTTTTAATATGAACTCACAATTTAATTAGTTTATAGATTCAATCAATGGAGAAGGAGTTTTTGAGATTTTTCATTTAGTTTTCTCAACAATTATTGTATTTAGTTTTGGTTTTCTCCTTATTTCCAGTAAATAATTTCTTTAACATTTATGCAATTTAGTTTAACAATTGTTAAGTAGTCTGGATATAAATTTATGTTTCGAGATTGTTATAAATAAAATTAAAATTGAAAATTTCATCACAAAAAAATTATGTAAATACAATTTATTTATTATTATTTACTAAAAAAAATTTGTAATTTTGTTATTTTTGAACAAAGGGCCAAAGGGAATATTCTTGTGTGTAAAAGGGCTTTGTTTAAAAATGCTTATTTGTAGGGTTGAATTAAGGTGACATTGAAATCAAAAAAAATTAATAAAAATATGTATATTTTTTTCTGTTTAAATAATAAATTTATTTAGATTTTTTATGGTTATTGAGTTTTATTGAAGCAGAATTGAATGAGATTTAAAAAAAAAGGTTATGAATAGCTGTTTTAGATATTTAAACGATGATGACTTGTGAGAACAAGGTCAAGAAGTCAAGCCAAACATCTGAAGATATTCCAGAAATATGCATTGAGACAACCAATCAAGCTTTACGTATTTTGGAGAAAAAAAATGGAAAATTCTCTGAAAAATATGGAAACAGATTTCAAACAACAGCTATCAGAACTACAAAACAGTATGAGAGAATTGTTACTACTTCAAAAAGGTGGCAGTAACGAAGAAAGTATTTCGGTGGAACACGGAAACTTGGAAACGGAGTGTGTAGACATCACTAAAGTGGAATACGTACGTTTTCCAAGCAATATACCTTTGCCAAAAAAACTGGATGATTCTCTAAACTTCGCACAGTTCAAAGATTGGAAAATTAAGTTTGAAAATTATCTGTTATATGAAGGAGCGAATATCAATAACACTGGTCAGGTTACAGCTTTGCTATCCTCGTTGTTTACTTAGAACATTCTGGATGTCGTCCGATTTGTGCTGAAAATCGAGAATTCCAATCAAATTACGGCCATACATGATCTCTAGAAGTACCGGAAACCTATTTTAAAAAAAAAGAAAATAAGCAAATCAGATATAGTCACTTCATGAACCGTAAACAAGAACAAGGTGAATCTTTCTCTATATTTTATAGAGAAAAATTGAAATTATTTCATTTGAGTGATCCCTGCTCACATTATTTTGACCGGAGAATCACAGATCATATATTATGATCGAATCTCTTCATGATACAGAAATCAGAAAAAATGCAGAACACTACTGGAATCAGCAAATATCAATGATGTCAAAAGAATTTGTGAACTAGAAGAAGTTGCACAAATGGAAGAATCCCAAGCCAATTATTCTAAGGTACAGGGTGATCTATCATAAATGTCACCCCCTTCTAACTTTTTCATTTGACATTTTTGACAAAAGTGTCAAATACAAAAGTTGCAAGAAATTGTCGAAAGTTTTCAACTAATGGCGTTTCCGATTGGTAGATTCAGTGCGCACTGAGAGTATTTGCATCCTTTTAATCGACTTGTAGAAGAAAAAGACAGAAATAGAAAAAATTGCACTAATTCCGCACTAGATCTACCAATCGGAAACGCCATAAGTCAGTTTCAGCCATACAGGGTGCGTCAAAAAAGTGCAGCAGTGTGAAGTTATATTTTTTTAAATGGAACACCCGGTATATTGTGCGTTTAATTGTGAGCCCTTTTTAACCTGATTTCAACGATATACGGTTTGATATGTTTATCTTCAATAGTTATAGGGAAAAACATGAAAACCCCTCTCAAGGTTTCATATTGAGAAAAGAAAAATTATACCATTTAAGCTTTAAAGAATTTTTTTTAGAAACAGTTTATTGTTCAAATTTTATTCATTAATATATAAGGTAAAATATTATAATAAATCCAGATGTTTTAAGTTATTATTATTATTAAAAAAAGAATAACATCACAGACCTAGGAAGGGATTTTCGCATTTTTCCCTATTACTATTGGAGATAAACCGAGAGATAAACATATCAAACCGTATATCATTGAAATCAGGTTAAACGGGACTAACAAATAGGCGCACAATATATAGGGTGTTCCATTCAAAAAAAAAAAACCTTCACACTGCTACACGTTTTTGACGCACCCTGTATGCCTAAAACTGACTTAGTTAAAAGCTTTTGACAATTTCTTAAACCTTTTGTATTTGACACTTCTGTCAAAAACGTCAAATGAAAAAGTTAGCAGGGGGTGACATTTATAATAGATCACCCTGTACATACACAGAACAAATAAATCCAAATGAAATTCAAGAAATATCAAAAAATGTCCTAGATGTAAGAATGCATGGCATAAAAGTTTGAAAGATTGCTCTGCAATGGACTCCATAAGACGCCATACGATGTAAAAAACGTGGAATTTATTGACTGCTCAGAAGACGATTCATCAAAAATCGGTTTACTGAAAATTGCCAATGTTAACCAAAAGCATAATTTTCGTCAAATTAAGGTTAAAATTAGAGCACCAACTAAAGCCGATTTTACAATCGACGTAACGTAACATAACTCCTAAGCATGCGCATATCAGAGTTATTTGCGTCAAATATGTTACCGGAAACGCAACGTAAGAGATGACCAACCCTCATCTCTCACGTTGCGTTTCCGGTAGCATATTTGACGCAAATAACTCTGATATGCGTCCATTGTAAAATCGGGCTTAAAAAAGCAATCATGTATTCCCTCACATGGCTACTCCAGATACGGGTACAAAGGTAAGCGTGGTAGGTGAAAATTTCATTCAGAAAGCAAACTTTTCATATCAAAATTAAAAAAAAAAACAGTATGAGGCTTGAATCAGCTGATAGTACAAAGATCAAAGTACATATTCGGATATATCAACTGTCAAATTGGCCTATGAAAATAATACAAAAGAAGTGAAAATTTACGTTTGCAAGAATATCAAAGATCTTTTGCTTGATAGATCAACGCTTATAAAACTTGGCATACCTACTTCACCCAGAATTTCCAAAACCGATAGTATATAAAACATATCCAGTACCTATATGTTTTAAACAAAATTCAAAAAGATCCTTCTGAAGAAGAAATTTGAAAAATAAGAAAATAACTACTAACTACTGGAACAATATAAAGACGTTTTCGATACATAAATCTTGAAACCGATGGATGGAAAATCAGTACACATACATTTGCTGGAAAACTATGAACCATATGCTATTACATGTCCCAGGAAAATTCCATATGCTTGGGATCCAGTGAAAAAGAAATTAGACGACTTATTAGCCCAAAATATCATTGCACCGATGGTAGATTGTTTTTTGACTCATTTAGAACCGCTCTTTCAATTGGAAAATTCAGAAAATAGGTATAACAGATTTTTTCAAAGAATCCCTTTGGATACTTTGATTCTTATGTTGTGAACTAGTGAATTTATTATTACTTATATTATCAATAATCCTAATGTTCGCTACATTTTCTATTCTACAAGTTCCTCCATCTATGTAATTAAGTTTTATTACAACAATACTTTATACTAGTGATGTGACGAATAGTAGATTGGCCGAATAACCGAATACCGAATATTCGGCCGAATTTAAACCGAATATTCGGCCGAATACCGGATAGTTATTAAAGCATGTCAGGTAAATATGATATTACAATTCGCGCGCGGAAATAAAAGGAATCGGTTATTGCCTACATTTGGTATTTCTACATCATAACGTCATAACCTACCACTTATTGATTTGTGTTTTTCACTAATTTCACTAAAAAATCCAAACATGAAATATTCGGTAGTGAAAATCGAATATTCGGCCGAATACCGAATAGCAAAAATAACGCCTAATAGGCCGGATACCGAATAATTATATACTGTTAGGGTTCAAAGACGATGCCGGCTAAAATTATTATATAACCCAATGTCCTGTTCACATCATTTTCTCGAAAGTCGGTACTTCTATTGCAGAAACCCCAATTGTTGTAAATATAAAAACTAAGTCAAATACAGCCCATGGGAAGTAGGTACTCTTGCCGCCAAAGACATAGTACCTTCCCAGACTTTTTTTATAATACAGATGGCGAGAATTACAACCCCTAGGTTAATTTTATGTTTATGTTTGTAAAAACGTTCCGTAACATTTTAGCACCTAAATAAAATATGTTGTACGGATAAGTTAATTTTAGGAAATTGTAAAATACCCTTCTTTATGGAGGTCCAAACTTGTCTTCCTTGGTGGAAGATAGTGGAAGGGAAGGTATTCAGATTCCGAGCTTCTCTCTGGACAGTCGGGTTGTTTCTCAACATTCTTAACTAAGTGTCTCCCCTCAGCGAGACTTTTAATAACATAAAAAACATTTTTATACAATACCGAGTTTTAATTATCGAAGTACGAGATTGGAGCGCGCGGAATCGGTTAACTCCCGATCCCCAACATTGGTGGCAGCGATCCCCAACGCTTGTTTCAAAATCTTTAAGCTTCAACTTCAATATTGATTGCCAACTCATAAAAGTACACAAGACTACGTATTATACAAATTAAGTAAATTTCTAAAGGAGGTCACCCTCGGACTATTAAAAACAAGATACTAACTTTGCTTATGCCAGTGATGCCAGCAATAATTTTAAGAGCGGCGTCAGAAAAGTGCCATCTTTGGGGCTTTATGACATACATTAAATATTTTTTAATCACAGGTGTGCAAATTCCCTGTAAGTGATTGACTTAATTACAAGTAGATGGCGACATCTTCAATATCAATTCGTTTACACTGAACTAAGGATGGAATCCGGCATCCTTGGCGTAGACAAGGGGAGTGGTAATTTCGACTGACTTACTTAACTTACCTAAGATGTTAGAAAAAACGGTCCCTTTATTCAGAAAAACTTAGGTTAGCTAAGATATTGTTTGCCCAGCGGATCTGAGTCTACGGAAGGAATTCGGACGTAAATGTGCCATGTTGCCACGTTTAATTATAAAATACCGAAAATACTAGGCATGAAGTATAGTTAATTTGAAAATCCATTTTTTAATAACAAAATATTGATAACAATAATAAAATGCTAAATATTTTAACGTGGTTGTTAGATCTATCCTTATTTTAATCCTGATTTCTTCAATTTGGTCTATTTTAAAAAATAAATATTTTCTAAAGATACCATCAGCTTTTGACAATTTGGCTCATTGGTGGAGTTTTTGGCAGGATCGCCGTTGTCATGGGGAACCATACAGTTGTCAATGAGCTAAAGTCACCTTACGTCTCGCTATTGGCCAGGGCTCACGTTATTTTATCCTCCCATCTTGGAATATCGATTTATATTGAAATATCCAGTGGCGGAGATTTGGTCATTGCTGATTTTCGTGTAAGAGTTGCAATACGATAACACTTCCAAAAAGTTCCGCACGCAGCTGGGTATTTTATGAATGTAATAAGCCATTTTTTTTACAACTGCATTCCCCTTACCGTTGCCCCGTAGACACAGACATTAGGTGTGTAGAAAAAAAGCAGCTTGTATTTCACATTATTAGCTAGGTAAAACAGTTTCTACTAGCGTTTGAAAGAAGTGACTATGCTTCCCGAAATCAGCGACATCTTTAAGAGAAGCTCTGAACACACGTTTGGTTTGAGTCTCTGCTGAAACTGACAGCAATCACCTCCTTATTTGGCAGATTTTTATTAATTAGGCAATCTCAATCACGTGATTTTATATGGCTGTTCAGGTCAATCCACCTATCTTTCATTACCTTGACTGCGCGCGCAACTCGTGGGCTGCAGGTGAGCATCCAATGAAAAGCGAGTTTGTTACGGACTTGCGTCATATTCTTATTCAGGTGCCAGTTCAGAATTAATCGCTCCTTCTTTCTTTGTAACGTGTATTTTGACAAAGAGCAAACTAATACTTTACGTATTATTTCTGAACTCACCGCAGTGTTGTTTAAAATTATGTCAGATTATACTTGACATATTCCTTTGGACTTTTATTGTGCAATGTTGCCGGATGAAACATTTATCAAAATAAAAGTGCCAACGATGTGAACATACACTTTAAAGCTCTTCTTCTATCTGATTTAAGGCGTTGTAAAACACTTAACACTATATCACTTCTTTAACGTTATAATGTTCGATTTGTATTGTCTACATTTGTTCTGCAACAATACAAACTGGCTACACTGAAACCCACTAGTTGCGCGCGCATGTCATCTCTTATTACTTTCTAACTTGTATTTATTACAATTAAGCTCTCTTTTTCTATTTATGCGAGACAGGTCAATTCATGGGTCAAATATTGCGGTGACAAGCCGGTGACGTTCGAGAGCATTTTTGTTCGGCTCTTGTTGTTTTCGAAGTGAATTTTATGTGTTTCTACGTATTTTTTATTGGTTTTGGTTTTGGTCATTGTTGTTTTCATAGTGAATTTTATAGTCTTCAATATTTCTACGTATTTTTTAGTGTTCTGGCCCTTGTTGTTTTCAAAGTGAATTTTATAGTGTTTCTACGTATTTTTTAATTTAATAATAAATTCTGAGATGGAGAGTGAATATCTTAAGGTATTATTATTAAGGGAAAATTGAGCCTCTGTTAGATCCTTCCTTTTAATTGCAGCAATCCATAACGCCCTGCGTTGTTTTGATAATTCATTTTTGTTGATCAAAAGCCGATGATTTAAAATAGGGTGACCATATTTTTTTTGTATGAATGCTGTGAGTTAGAGAAAGCACTGAATGCGAAAAAAAAATAGTTTATTGGTGTTATAAATACAATTGTACCTTACACAAGTCATATAAATAAATCTTACATTTATCATAAAAATTACAAAAATTATGCTGAGCACTATACATATTATTTAAAAGAAAAACAGACCGATAAATGCTAAAATTACAGTGACTAATACAAAGTTAAAATAAAGACAAAAAAAAGTCAATTATATAAATTAAAATAAAATAAAAAACGGTGCCACGCCCAAAAAAAATAAAATAATATGTAGGTACTACATTATTAGTACTTTTCAGAGGAGTGATATTTTTTCAAATAGCTCCGTGTTACCTTTTATTTTGTTTAGAAACTCTTCACAACTGGTTGCAATATTGCAAAGACCAATACTCGTAGCTTTGACAGTCTCTACACTCTACACTCATTTGCGACTTTTCGGTAATCCAATAATTGTTTATCAACGAAAATTGTCGCTCAGTAAACGCAATAATTCCGTTAGTACCTAGTTCGTATAATTTTTTAGAAAAACTTAATTATGATCCGAATTGCTGTACGTTTGCTGTACAAAATCAAATGCTGGACAGACTTTCGAAATGCTGTACAATAAAGCGAAATGCTGTACGTATGATCACCCTAATTTAAAATAGCAGGAACTGAATAAAATTTCACATTATCCCTGTTACCTCGACTTCCACACCCAATTACGATGCAAATCGCTAGCATTTTAATTAACACAATACCTAAACACACAAAAAAACACAGAATCCGATAATTCAAATCTTGACGTTTGTCCAGAATGTGACAGAATCAATGACATACAGAATAAACAACACAGTGCTTGACCCGAACTTCCATATTGACTTTCGTTTTTGACAGGTCAGTAGATTGCCTAATAGGCTCCTTGCATCAAATTTTTTTATTGCTGATTTCGATAGTCCATGAAATATAAGTCAACACGTGTTTTTTCTTTTTCTTGTTAGTCAAAAATTGACGGAGATACAACGCTTTGAAATGTCCTTCTGACGTCATAACTTACAATACCTACGTTGTGACGTCGCACATGCTCAGTATATCTACATATACAAAACTCAGTATTTGTATAACTTTCGAAATAATCATATTTGGACAAAATAAAAAAACATGCATCGATTTCCTACAGTTTGCAATAAACAATGATCAATTTAATTTTTCATGCAAGTACCCTATTTTAGAATAAAAACATCATACATTTTCGGAAATTGTATTCATTTCATTTATTCCAGCACTTTATGATTCGAAATTTTGGAAATTTATTGTTGCTGTGCTACTCTACTTATGTATTTATCCATTTTTCATTCAAGTCCGTGTCCAAAATTTGCATACTGTTGTCAACAAAATTGGCAATAATTTTACTATTTAAACTGCGTATTTTGCAACCAAAAATACTTCGATCCATACTCCAATCTATTATTGTTATGAACATAACTTCATTTCACTGAAAAGTGGTCTAACCAATCAACGGTCTAACTTTGGAATTGAACAAAAATTTGTGAAGGTCTGTTAATGACATTTTATTTAAACGCCCCTCTTAATATAAATTCACGCACTGCGGCAATGCAAGGCAAGATTGGTCTTGACTGTTGATAAGGTACGAGCCTAAAAGACCTGCCTTCTTAGCTGGGTACGACTAGGTATGTTCGAGAATCTCGAATCGAGATTGTGAAACTTGTGGATGAAGCGGCCGTGTCTCAGCGTCCCCAAGTTTACTTACGAGAACTATGCCCTTAGGGGGCCCGTTCTTTTAGTGCATCTCGGGTTCATAAAACATTCTTACATTACCGAGGGGCATTAACGTATTGACAATCTAACATAGGTAGTCCATCAGGGACATCTGCGGTGTTAGGATTTTGGTAAATCTTCTTGAACTATAAGTTGTAGTTGAGGTTTAGTAATAATTAAAGCATATAATATTCGTGGTTGTATCCCTTCCTCCATACCCCCTCTTTTCAGATTAACCCTTAGTGGACACAGTGTATTAAAAGTGGTGGCACCGCTGACCCCAGCTAACCTAAGCGTGATAATATCTTGAAATCCGTGAGAAATGTTAAATCAAAATTTTCAGGAATTGTACTCGTATTAAGCTCTACAAAACAAGTATTGGAAAATATTCACAGGCCTAAAATTTTTGAGAAAATTAAATTTGCAGTTTTTCACTACATTTCTACTAAAATTCAACTTTGAGGCTCAATTGCTCAAAAAGTATTTGAGTTATCAAACTCAATTTAGCACAGATTCATAGAGAATTTAATGCTTTTTCTAATCGTGTATAATTTATTTTGATTTGTTCGAATTTTAATGGAAATATTAGCAATTCTTCTTAACCTTGTCATGAGCACGCCACAGTCGGTTCATTACGTTTTTGAATGAACTATGCCCACCGTATTAGCATAGAAAATTAGCTAAAATCCTTCTCAAAGTTACCAATTAAATCCTCTCGAAGGCAAATAAACAAAATAATTGAAACGTAAAAAAAAAGCGTTTATTCATGCATTACAGCATCGTGTCGTGATGCGGCAACATTATTTTCTTCCTTTTTTGATTCCTTCCTACTCTCATCTTCTAAGGTCGTTTCTGTTTAAACAGGTTTTCCCGCCGGAATAATATTACTATTAATCCAACGCTTATATCATCTAAATGTTGTTCACAGTCTACGATGTTTGAAATAATTCGTCTATAAGTGCAGTGTTAATTTTAAAAATGGAATCTACAGCAGATTTAGTGACAAAATCAGTCGGAGATTTGACTGTAGAAGAACCTCTGGCAAAGACGTTCAAACAAATGACTGTTAAAGAACGAGTGGGTTATATAAAAGAAGTTATAACTGTGGAGCCCTTAATAGCTACTTACATAATATCGGCAATCTTGGCAAAGCCTGCTTTATTGGTGTTAGAATATGAAAAAGCTTGCAAAGCAAATTTGGGCTTGAACGACACAGTGTGCGACACTATAATCAACAGCGAAGAACTTGTCTATGTAAATGAAACCACTCAAATTCAATTATTAATCAGCGACGTGCATTCATGGCAACTTCCAATACAAAGCATAATGCCTTTGATATTGGTACTGTTCCTAGGGTCTTACAGTGACAGACACCAATGGAGAAAACCCTTTCTACTGTTACCTTTAATCGGTGAACTATTTGCTGTAGCTGGATGCATCATTTCTGTCACCTTTATGCGATCTTGGAACTTGGAACTGCACGGATTTGTCCAAGCAATCGTACCATCGTTTTTTGGTGGACAAACCATGTTGGTGATGGCAGTGTTTGCTTATATTGCTGACGTTAGTACTTTGGAAATGAGAACTTTACGTGTAGGGATCGTGCAAATTGTAATAAACGCTTGCGTACCTACAGTGCAATCGTTTAGTGCGGTTTTATTTAAGGCTATCAATTATACCGGCGTATTGTTTATTGCTGGAGCGTTTTACTCGATTGGAATTGTTTATGGGATGTTTTGGATTAAAGAACCCAAAAGGCCCGATAAAACAACAAAGAAGAACTTTCTGGTTGATATTTTTGATACCAAGCACGCAATCGATACGTTTAAGTTGGTTTTCAAAAAGAATCCCGACAATGATCGATTGTTTATTGTCTCTTTGTTAGTTGGAATGTTTGTTTATACGATGGTTAATGTGGGAGAGGAGTCTGTGTTTTTTTTGTACACCAAGGCCTTTTTAAATTGGAGCATTGTGGAGTATACTTCGTTTTCGACGGCCAACACGCTCATTCATTTAGTGGGTAAGTGAATTTAAGCTAGGATAAGATTTTGAAATTAAAATTTTTATGAAAACTTTCTAACTTTTTGAAGAATTACATGTATACATATATTTGGATTCTTATAGTAGAACTAGAAAAAAAATCGTATCTGGTTTGAGGGCGTGTTCCATAGACTCATGCAAACTTTTGTGACAGGCCCCAAAAAATATCCTCAAACTCTAAATTTATTTTCATTTTTTTTTCTTGAAAATTGCTCCACTTGCTAGCCAATGAAATTCTTCACACAATTATACTTTGACACAATCAGATTTTATTTCTAAAGAAGGCGTTTAGGAAAAGTTAGAATTAGAAAATAAATAAACCAATTTGGTAAAAGAGAACCAGTGTTTTTCCCATAAAATTGACCAAAATCTATAGAATTATAATTATAGTGAACATGGTGGCAGCTGAATTATTTCCAGAGTTATATGTATTGTATTTATTAGATACAATCTTGAGGGAATTTAAGCCTTTTTTAGAAAATTTATAGTTAGGTTTGATTTTCTGAAGTCATGACTATGAGTAGGTACCTACCTAGTAATTTTTGAGAGTTAGTCATAAAACCAAAAATTTCGTATCACCAAAATTGGTATAGGTACCTATAGTCACAGTACATCGCACCTTTTTTTTTAATGATTAACACTCATCTGAAACTTTGTCAGCGGTTTTATTTTAACGTAACCTACAACTTTTTAGCTACTAAAACTTCTGGAAATGAGCCGCTTGCATTCTGGAAAGAGGTGAACATGTCAATTTAATGGGGTATTGAAAAGGGTAGGTATGAACAACCATTTGCTTTCCACTTAGATCGAAAGATAATTCAATATAAAAATTGGAATAAAACTTGGCGTACACCACGAACATGTCAAAATAAAGAGGTTTGGAAAATTTATCATGCGACAACCCGCTGATTTTCCGTCATTTGTTTAATAAATATTATTAGAATCAAATGGTCATACTGGCCTATAATTTTCATGGGCAGTTACTCCAGACCTCCTACACGTCTTATAAACATGTCAATTTCACGATGTTTTGTTTACTAATGGACACTTATAGGCCAAAAGCTCACATGAAAGGTGAGATACTTGATTAAGTTGGAATAGTGGCCTACAAAAATATTGGGCAGTATTGCGCAACCTACAAAAAAAAAAAAAAAAACATTCATTTAAATGGGGAATAATGTTATTCACTCATTACTGGCATCAAATAAGTACTAATTTTCGGAAAAATACGGAAAGAAAAACCGAATAATTGATATAAAAAATATGTGGCCCAAGTTATGTATTGAAAGACATATTAAATGGAGTAGAAATATCTTAAAATGGCGATATTTCAAAAAACGACGAAACTTTGCATGATGGTAAATATGGTCACACAGCTTCCAAATGATTCCAACTATCAACTATCACTCATTGAAATCTTTCTATCGATGTACCAAACACCCAGTACCTATATTGAAATCCATTGAAAAAATAAATATTATGAGGAAAAAATAATTATAATGGAAGTTTACGGTCAAAATATTGATTATATGAAAAAACCACAAGATTATTTTTTTTTACAGATTTCACCAAGAGAGATTGACTAATAATCTCGAGACAGAAATGAAAACTTTTCTCCAAGGTTTGTATACCTACTACGTATTTTATTTTGAACCATATTATGTAATTTCCATATTTTTTACTGGTTTGAAGGTTCGAAAATGTCACTTTACTTTTGTTTACTTTAAAGCAGGCCGAAAGTGACAGTTCTCCTGTCACTTTCGGCCTGGAGAACTCACTTTCGGCCTGATAAATTGTTCTTTCACACCTAAACATAAATCCAGGTGCAATGTTTGTATTTAAAAGTAGATGTCACATGTATTTATATTGTTGAAATTTCATAAGATGTCAATGTCGGTGTGAGAGTGTCAGTAGAAATTCCATTTTTGTCATATGTTTGCATTATTTTTAGCTTCCTAGATAGGAAGCTATGGTGATAGCCCGATTTTCAGTTTTGACCATGACAAAATTTCATTAAATCTTGACGTTTTGGATCATTTTGAGCCTTTTTGGCAAGGTGGGACATTTCAGTCTGTGTGTGTGTATGTATGTGTGTTGGCATTTTTCTGAGAAAACGGCTCGATGGAATTTGATGAAATTTTGGAAATAGGTATAAGAAGACGTGTAGGCAAAAGTTACACAGAGATAAAGGAAAAAAATCCTCTCAAAGATATGACGTCATTGATCTTTTTTTTAAATGAGAACGCCATCTTTTTTTTCATTGATTGGATAGAGCTCATTTTGCTTTATATAATCTCAAAAATCTCAATAGATTTCATTGGGACATTTTTGAAAAAAACCAGATGTCAAATTTTTGACATAACGCTTCCTAGAATCGTGAAAAATTATCCGTAATTTTGAAGCTCTCGTGGTATGTGGTATTATCCCCGAAAAATGATATTAAAACCTGAAAAAATGACAAGATTTATTAAAATGAATTCATGGTTTGAAATGACAATTAATGACAATAATGACAATAATTAATTAGGTAGTTATTTATCTAGGAAGCGTTATGTCAAAAATTTGACATCTGGATTTCAATAATTAATGGTTCAAAATAAAATCGTATACATATTTCGGTGAGAAGTTTGCACATATATTGTCTCGAGAATTGGTTGACCTCGGGCTTCGCACCTCGGCCAACCATAGTATCTCTCGACAATAATGAAACACTTTCCACCTCCGTATGTAATATACTATTATTTTCAAGCACACTATTAATTATGATTAATCATTTAATTTTTTAAATATTTATAAAACAAAACCAACATGCGAAAATCTATCATTCTCTGTTTTGACGTTTATACCTGACCGGTTCTCATTGTTCCCAGCAGTAAAATAAATTAGAGTGAAGGAAATCGCCATCGGTGAGGGAAATCGAAGAGGGAAGTGACACAGGTAAAGTGACACTTCCAAATTTTTAAAAAGTCAATAATGTCAAGATTACATATATACCTGTATCACTTACCTCTTCGATTTCCCTATTCGACTTCCCTCACCGATTTCCCTCACTCCAATTTATTTACCTTTGCTGGCAACAATGAGAACATTTCAGGTAAAAACGTCAAAACAGTTAATGACACATTTTGGCATGTTTGTTTTATTTTTCTGATATTCAAAAAAATTTAATGACTAATCATAATTAATGGTGTGCTTGCAAATAAAATAGTATACATACCTCGGAGAAAAGTGTTCATTTCTGTCTCGAGATTAATAGTTAGTCTCGACGCTTCGCGTCTCGATTGCCTATATAAATCTCTCGACAGTAATGAAACACTTCCCTACTCGGTATGTAATATACTATTATTCACAAAAATTTTTCATACATATACAGAACTTATATTTTTCTAGATATGAGAATTATGTAGCGAAAAAGTGAAAATTCATGTAGTAGGTCTGTTTTTTGATTTTTTCATATGTACATTTCAAGAGTGCTTCCCCCAATATCAGTAGGAGCAGGCATCGCTTTTGTTATGTAAATGCGGGTCTGTTCCTTATAATTAGTGCGGCTCCTACAACTTAAACAAAAGAAAATACAAAAAAAAGTTTAATACAAAAGTTATAGGGTTTCATCTCTATTATCTTTCGTAGATGTCAAGATGGGCAAATGACAGGTGCCAACATCCTGTATATTTTTGGCTAGGATGATAGATTTTTTTCTTCTGATTTCAAATATACCATATATGTTGATATTTGGTTCAGCTGTTTTTACGCTATTCAAGTTTAAAAATGTATTTACATTACCCCAAATTAGGTCTGTTCCCGGTTGCATTTTTCCGTTTCCTATTTGGTTACCGCTACATGGACCGCTAAACCTTTAGGACTTGTAAAAATATGTCTGGCATCGCGTTTCCTATTAGGCTAGCGCACATTGTCTACCGCTACATGGCGCGTTACTCCTATAGGACTTGTTAAAGTATATCCGAAGTCGCGTTTCCTATTAGACCAGCGCACATAATGTTACATGTTACGTGACCTTTGACATTGGGTTGGTTTTTAATAATAAACAATAAAACAACTTGCAGGAAGAAATTAACTTTTTTTGTAGCAGCCAAATTCTTTCCAGCGGTAATTAATCTAATAAGGTTTCTAATATCAATGATGAGGCTTGCTCAATGCAATTTTAAAATGAAATAGCGCAAAAACAGCTGAACGAAATATCAACATATATGGTATATTTGAAATCAGAAGAAAACAATCTATCATCGTAGCTATAAATATACAGGGTTACCCATTTATAAAAAAATGCAAGTGCTGTCATTATGACAGTTGGCACCTGTCATTTGCCCATTTTGACATGTACGAAAGATAATAAAAATAAAACCCTACAACTTTTGCATTTAACATTTTTTTGGATTTTCTTTTGTTAAAGTTGTAGGGGCCTCACTAATTATAAGGAACAGACCCTGTACATACAGGGTGTTTCAAATTCGAGCCACATCATTGGGATCTCGGAAACGGTGGGAGATACACGGTTGGTTGAATTGAGACAAAGTTGAAAATTGGGTAATTTGATGTTTAACAAAATGCCGCTTTGATATTTAGGATATTCCGAATACTTCCGGAGATATCCGGAAAAAAACGAAATTCTGCAAAATTGTTTTTATTTTTTCTTGGCTTTATTTAAAGTGAAAAAAAAGTCGCTTCATCATAGCCACTTCTGCTCCCTTACAAGGTGCTAACTTTAAATTTAAAATCTGACGTTTCGTCTTTCGACCCTTATTTTTTATTTTATAACCTAGGAAAATTGGGCTGAAAATTGATGATCAGCTGAAATAATTCATGTATTTTTCAAATTGGGTATAGTTTTATAGTTATTTATTGGCGTGTCCTGATAAACATACTAGCAGTCTCCAAGGGTGGTGGGTGAGCCGACGATACGGAAGACGGTAAAAGGTTGTTTTTTTGCTTATATCTCTAAAACCTTTAAAAATATCAACA